TACTCTGTGATGATGAGCTTGCTTTTGGACATATTGAATGTTACAAGCCAATTTTTCTTTCATTTCACTGTTAGAGCTACTACGTCAGTGGGGAATGAATTATATATAGTTTCAATCCTGGTAGATGAAAAAACATTCCAAATATTTTTAACTTTGCTCAGATGAAGGTTTTTTTCTGTTTTAAATATAGAAGTAAACTTTCTTTTGTTTCCTTTTTATTTCAACATAGTTGCATTATATATCAGCCTACTTGCATAATTTATCTTGAAGAAAGATAGCTTTGTTTGTATAAGAAATAAAGTACCAGATGTTGAACAACATGACAACTGTCAAATCTTCTGAATAAGTTGCCTTGCATTTCTAAAGAAAACTGTTTTATTTAAATTTGTAAATAAAATGACTACAAATTTATCTTCCCTGTTTCCTTTTAAAAGGATGATTTGCAAGCTCTTTTTATAATTATTCTAATAAATTGCTTGATTATTAATTTCAAGGTTTTGGTGAAAAATGGAAGCAGCTTATTTTTTTCTTTTTTTTAATTATTTTTAAATATTCAAAATACTATTATAGTCTTGTGAAAATTTAAGTTAGTCTCCCAATTAATTTGGAAATATATGAATTTGTTTATCCAAATTTTATCTGTTACTTTTCAATGAAAACACTAAAATGTGTTTTTCATCTTTTGTAATAAAATTCCTTGATATTCACTGGTCTGGAAACTTGCAGATAGGAGCCAGGGACTTAATATTAGGTGAGGTGGTTTGCAGGAATTCAAAATTAGGTAAAGTGGAATTGGTGACAAGGGAAACTATACAATAGTTATTGACTTAGGAGTTATTTGTCTCTAATTATAGGAATTGTTACTTATTCTTATAAACCTCATTACTGAAGTTGGTTTGTCAACAAAGGCTATATGAGGGACATATATTTGGTTTAGAGTAGAAATTTAGTTCAGCACTTGTTTCACTTTTCTCATGTACATTTTACCCCCCCCCTCTGCCTGTAAGAACTATTACAAATATTTTCAACTTATTTTCAAGTAGTTCAATGGTTGATTAAATTATTTTAAGCAGTATCCTTTGTATGTATGCAGTTGTTTGGTTAAAATGATTTAGCTGTTTTTGTTCTTGTTCTGAAATTAAAAATGTTCATTATTTCATATATGAAGGTAAATCTCAAAAGGTATATACAAATATTGACTTTCTCCTCTTCACTATTAGGTTGCAACAAAATAACTGGTCATTTTTCAACCACAAACACTGAGGTATCATAACTTGGCTCAAATACAATCCAACAGTGAATTTATTCCACCATGAAAAAAAAAAAAATGCCGGTGTCACAAGATACATGAAAATGTGGGAAGGCATTTATGACCTGATTTGCATTGATATACAATGGTGTGTGTATATATGCATATACAAGACTTAAAAAAAGGTTGTAATAGGTAGAGAACAGGTCTGGTGAATAGGGAGAGTAAAGCAAGATTTCAATGCCTAATTGTGTCAGTATTTTTTTTTTTTTTTTGCTTCTTGGTTTGTGAAATATGAGTTAGATATTGTCTTCTTCAGCAGTAGGTCTTAATGTATTGGAACTAAATCACAATAATAGGACTTTGCTATGATGTTAAGGCCAGATTGCAAGAGGTTGTAATGTGGTTGTAATCCTTTATAGTACAACCAGAAGAATCTTTTGGGGATAAAGATTTAGTTTTAGAACAGTCGAGAGAGGTGCAATTTTGTCAACCCTAAACAAGCCATGTTTCTGATTGTTATACAGAAACCAGTTTTTATCAAAAGTAAGCACATAATCAAGAAAAATGTCATTTTGAATAAACAAATTGCAGCAAGTGTCAAACTGTGTAAACTATCAATAAAATCCTAGACTCTCTTGACTTCTTTGTATTTCTTCACTTTGTTGATTTTGCTCAGATGTCCCCTGACACTTAACCGTTTCTTTCTGGATGGTCTTCAGTGGCTACCCTTAATCAGGGCTGGCGTGGTTTGCCCCTGAAACCCTTGATTGGGGGTGGGGAATTTTTTTTTTTTTTCTTTTTAATAATAGTAATACTAACCAGACATCCATGGCTAGTAATTAAAATAAAATTTCTAGTCCCTACTTTTTACATTTCTAGAAAGGTAAAACTGAGAAAATGATTGCTTAAAAAAAAAAATGTTTAAATATTTCAACACATGAAAAAATTTTCCCCGAAAACTGAAATAATGTTTTTAAAACAAATTTTTAAGACAATCCTGTTTGTGTTGTGTTGGAATCTTTGTAAATATGCACTGAAACTTTCATTTAAATTGGATAATTTCTTGATTTTTGGTAATTTAAAAAAGAAAGTGCTGCCCCTCCCCCATTTTCCCATGAGGGTTTGTGGCGCCTCCCCCCCCTGGTTGGGAAATTTTGAAATCGACATGTAATAGGGAGGGGAGAGGGGACCCATATCAATGGGGAGTATGGGTGAGACCCTAGGGCCTGCCCTGCCATAGTTCTTCATTGTTAAATGACAACTTGTAACCATGATGACTGGGGTGATCTTGGAGATGCAAATCATCAATAATAAACTTTTAGGACCAGCAACATACAATTCATTCTAAAGCTGACTGCAGTCACCAAGCATTATTGATGTTGTAGGAAGCTTTGACCAAAAAAAAAAAAAATGGCAGTGTTTGAACTCATGAGGCATAATAACACAAAGATCTTATTTATTCATCTTGGCTTTGATACTCAGAATAATAATAAAAATAATTTTTGATAGATTCAAACAATACCTGGAATAGAAGAAACAGAACATTGAAATCATGTCTGTATAAATAAAAGATGTAAACAAATATTTGCACTAATACAACGCAAAATTAGCATTTGTTTTGTTTCAATTCGATATTAAAAAATGCATTTTTTTTGTGCAGAAACATACTTTAAATATTTGGTAGTTATCATTGAATAGAAAATATTTTTAATCAAAGATTTATAGATTCTTATTCTGATGCTATTTTTTTTTTTTTTGACCTTGTATTGTTGATCAGTTTGTTGATAATTTCTTTATTGATGATATTTCAAATCTGCTTTTCCTCCTCCCTCTAATGCTACTTGTGACTTTTGCTCACTATTGTTACTCTGCAATTACTCATCTTTTTCTGCTGTTAATATTATGCTTGTAAATGTTTCATTGATCATTTCAGATTAAGTCTGCCATTGTACAACTCTTACCAGTGGAGTTTTTAAATATACCTATTGACTTGGCTTATTAGTCATCTTCAGTTCTAGTCTATATGCTTTTGATTTGAGGATTTATTTGATCTTTATACAAATAATTAAACTTATATTATGGTTTTCTATAAACTGCTATTTTTAAAAGGAAAATATAATTTCAATTTGCTGACTTCAAATGTTTAATCGATTTTTCTGAATGAATATCTAAAATAAGCAATGTTCAAAGTTTTGTGCAGCTTTTTTTTTTTTTTTTTTTTTTATTTGAATGAAATTGATCTTGTAATGTTTAATCTCTCTTTTAAAAAGACCAAAATTTTCATTTTATTCTTTTATCATTTCTTAAAAGTCAATACATTTTTAGATAGCTTTGTTTGAAAGCTAAGAATTTAAGATTTTTAAAATTTGATCATTAATTTTATAACTAATACTGAAAACAAAATTACCATAAAAGCTCATGTATATTGCAAGTGTTTTATGTTGTTAAAAAATGCTTGCCTTATGGTTATTTTCATTAATGAATTGCAGCTTAAATTACTAAATGAAAGTCAATGCATTTATTAAGTTATAGACTAAACACTGGAGGTTAAAAAAAAAAATTCTGTTATGTCTGTTTAGGTGACTGTGTATTTTTGGGGTTTTTTTTTGTAGCTCTCACAAATTGGTTTAGCTTCAGCTCTTAAACAACGCTTTGATGTTTGCATATTTCACCAATATTTCTTCTTGGTTTGTTTTACCCCAATTATTTTTTTCCTGTCCCAAGAATTGCGCTTCACTTTTTGTTTTGGTCATTTTCTTAAACAATTTCATTCAACCTCTCATCTGCTGCATCTCTTTTCTGCTAAATACACGTAAACACTGGTGACAGATGGTCATAAGCTAAAAACCTTGTTAGGAAACAGAATCTGTTTTTACTCTGGTTTAAATTGTCTAAACAAAATCAACTTGAAGTTAATATCTACTGCGGTGATTGTTGCCTACGAGCAAATAAATGTCAGTGTTCCGCTCCCATCTCCATGATTGATAATTGCAATGACCAACTGTGGTCTAAAAGAAACTCCTGGACCATCTGTTGCTCTGGACAGTCAATGACTTCAGGCTTTTTCTGCATATGGACTGAAAATAAGTTTTCTGGGCAGTTTTATCCTTGAACTTCTCAGTTGCAAATTAGCATATGGAATTTTGTGGTGTTTTATTTCAAGTTACAATATTCTTTTGGATGCCAAGTCAAGATCCTGTTCCATCTAAGTAAGCAGAGTGTTCCCCTTTTAGAAGTCTTCTCTTTGTGCATTCAATTTCCTATCTTGACACTGGTTTCTCTTTTTGTTATTCATTTCTTAATTCTTTCATTCCACAACAAGTGCTAACAAACTAAGATGCTCACTTTAGACCTTGCTCAACCACATTCACAATTCCGTGAACTATCTTGAATGTAGAATTGTAACATCAGTTGATTAAAATTGCTTATTTAAACCACTTTGGATTTAAGGTTATGAGGCATCAGACTGGTAGCCATTTGAACAAAACCAATGTAAAAAAAAATCAATAAAAAATGGGAGTGTACACTGTTTCCATTTTGTCATCTTCATTAAAATTTTCATTTTTATATTTTGTTTTTATCACTTACAAAGAAAACAAAAAAAAAAACATTTTCTAAAAATATTTTTAGAAAAATAATTTTATAAATATCCTGAGTAGGAAATCTTATTTAATTTTTTTGTAGGACTTTTTTCTATAATTCTATTTGTTTTTTTTTTGCCCATTGTAACCATTTATTTTTTTTCCAGTTGAAACAGTTCAAGGAAAAAGGGAAAATTTCTACGAACCAGTCCAATTCTGACAATCGATCATCCTCGACCAGGTCAAGTGTCAGTCCTTCCTCCAATCCGTCCATTACTGAAGAGAAACCATCATCTATTGGGGTAGGTGTTTGTGTAGATCTGACAATTTACTATTGGATTCTTCAAAATCTCTACATTTCAGTTACATGTTGAATATTTTAAATTTGTTTACATTAAGCTTTTCTGTTAAATTTGATTTTCAACATTTCTTTTTATAAGTTCTTTGTTTAATGAGAACAAAACAATTCAGGCCATTTGAGTAGTGTATAAATTCTTTCTAATTATCTCTTTATTTTGTAAATTGTTCTTGCCTTCATCACTACAGGAACAAGTATTACACCAAAAAAAGAAAAGAAACATTATAAATCTAAAGTGAAAATGAATTATTTAGTACAAATCTTTATCTTGACTTCAAATAAAATAATCAAGGCTGTATAATGATTCTCAGTTTTCTACTATGTTGTTTCTTGTTGTTACTCAGAAATTTTTTTTTCCTAACCAAGATTTCTATTGAAGTTTCCCTTCTCCATTTAGTTGTGCAGAGAGAGAGAGATAACTTTTTCTTTCTTTAATTATTCTTGGCATGTGGCTTATAAAATCAAAATGACAATCTGACATTTGTGCTATAAAGAACTTCTTGGGTGTGTGAAATATAAGTTTCCAGGCATTCAGTTGGATGTACATTCAACAGGTGTAACTTCACCTAATCTCATCAATCAGTTCCTAATATCTCAAGCTGAAGTTTGCCTTCTTAAGCAATTTTCTCCCTCACCCCCAGCCCCAAATATGCAAAGTCAATTAGTAACACTAATTTCACAGATGATAAAAATAAAAACTATGTAATTCTCTTTAGCTCTGCCAAATATTTTTTTTTTTAATTTAAAAATGTTAAACTTTGCTTCTAAAATGAAAGTTCTGTATCCTGTTTCTTCCATTGTCATTTTGTGTTCATAGTTTTGAAACTACTTCTCATCTAAATCAAAGGATCATTTTTACTCATCTTTTATAGTTCACTTATTCCAAATTTTATGGATTTATTTATTTATACACATCTTTACAAATTATCCATTTGTCATTTGACTCAGTCTGATCACTGGGATGTGTTATGTATATATGTATATGCATAGCAAATTTGTGCATGCAATAAGTTGAATGTAAACTTGTAATATATATTGAGTAAATGTGAGAAATGAATTCGGTAGTAGTAATTCTTAAAAGATTTTATTGTTCAAAAATTGAGAATCGAAAAAGCAATGACCAAGTTGATTGGACTTGTCTGTTCTTTAAGATTCTCTACCCACCTCCATCCCCTTCAAATTGTTTATCCTCCAGTTTTGAAAGAAGGCAATTCAATTGCAACATTGTTTATTATTTCTTCTTTGGGGTTTTAATAAAGTGTGATTTTGAGCAGATGGCCCTGAACCAAAAAGAGTGGAGATTATGCTGTCACAATGGCATTAAAGCATTTGAATATAGATGATCTCCAAGACATTTAAGTGAGGCAAGAGCAATGACTAAACAATCTGCATTAAGACTAGCAGCCTGGTCTTGTAACCTACAAACTTGTACATAATGTTCTCTTGTCTGCAAATCTCTTGCGGGACTGAGGTATCATATTTGTTGTAAATATTTATTGACTAACCTATAAGGTGCTGGACACTCATATATTGAAATCAACAGAACAGTCCATTATATATAAATATATAGTATTTATATAGATGGATTTATATAACATTTTAGCTTCGGGGATTAAAATTTTGGTCAATGATGGATACTTGCCCTGTATATTTAGAGATTTCCTTTTTATAGGCTGTATGTAGTATATACTTTTGATGCAGGAATTTTCTTAATTTAATCCTGGTTTTTTTTTGTTTTTTTTTTTTGTCCAGGCAAAATAAATGACTGATTATAAGTAATTAAGTCTATTGTAAATTACAATTATTAAGAATTTTGTTATCTTTATTAATGAAAGCCTGAAAAAAAGTCACTTTCTATCAAAAATGATCAATATTCTTTAATCTGAAATATAAAAACAAATAAGTTCACTCCAAGCATTTAGAAAATGTGAACACCTGTTTATTTAAGATTTGAATTAGACATAATCAATTGAAAGGTTAAAGATATAACTTTGTCATGCAAAAGTTACTTGTAATTTTATTGTGACAAGGGTTCATTGACACTTGAACTTGTTATCATGTAACATTGATTATAATAACTAGAATATTGGATATCAAATTGCTGTTTTGATAAATATAGAAACCAAACCAACTCACTGCATAATAGATGATTGCATATTTTTCTCTAGTTTTAGCATTCACACATTTTCTTTTAATAGATCATTCTTGGATTCAACTGAATAATTTTTGATTTTTTTCAAATTATTTTAAAAATATTTTATATGCCTGGTGCAAGAATTTTAGATGTGTCACAGACGACATTAAATTCAGAAATGCTGTTTCAATATTTTTATTTTATTTAATTTAAGTTAAATTTTATGACAAAATAAGCCAATCATGAATTTCTCTTTCCCAATACAATTCTCAATGTTCTGAGATAACACTTTTACTTTTTCAAGTCAACTCTCTCTATTCCCTACTGAAAATTTTGTTTTCTTTACAATTCAGGGATTTGAATGTTTTCCTCTAAAAATTGCTTTTTTTCACTTTAATTATATTTGAATTTATTTGATATAAAAACAAGAAAAGAAATTAAGGATTTGCACACAACTTTCTTTTAACTTGAACCTTTTAAAAAGTATCTACTTGGCCACTTAACCTGAAGATGGTGTTATGGTTAGCTAATTTTTTATTTTTTTTATTTTATTCCACTATGTCATATATATAATTTATTACTTCTGTGATCTTATTGCTGTCAAGATCCTCTAAGGCCGAGAGCATTTCTGTTACAATCTCATCTGATTCTGCTGTATTGTTCCTAGTGCAAATCTTACTTCAGACTTTAATATTTCTGGCCCTTCCATATTTTTAAGTGTTGTAGATTTCTCGCTCACATTGTGAAAAAGTTCTCTGATACATTTGCTCTATCTTTGGAGTATTTTTCTTTTTCTATTATCAGTGATCCTTCCTTTGATATTGTATAGAGCCTGTTGATGAGCTCAACTTTTATCCTGTTAATTCTTTTATTTTGTTGTGCATACTTGCTTTATTTGTGTTACTCATCCTTTCTATTTCCGCACACTTTTCATTCCTCTTTAGTTTGCCTACATTTGTTTTTAATTTCTGTGTTTAATGTTTGGTAATCTTTTCCATTCCTTGGCATTGTTTGTTGTCATTTTTTCATCATCAAGAGAATTTCCTTTGTCATCCACTTGTCCCTTTGTTGTCTCATTTTCCTTGTGATAATCTCATCCGCCAACATCATTAGTGTTTCTCTCAGCATGTCCCATTTTTGAATTTGTAGACTCAATTTACATTATATTTGTTCATAACTCTGTTTTTATACATCTACTTTCTATTTGGGTCCATCAAGAGTCTGTCATATTACAGTTTAGGCATTGTTTTGGCCTTTAATAGTTTCTGTAGTTTTATGTGACTGGAAAATGATTGCTCCTACTGTTCACATTTGGGTGGAACTGCATTTCTGAATCTTTTGTTGATAGTTACTTAATCAATCTGGTTCTTTTGTGTTTCATCTCGAGCTTCTCCATTCCCAAAGTCATCTTAGGTGTTCCCAAAACCAAATATTGGTAATTGTTTGCTGTGCACCAGTGGAACCATATTTTGTTGTGCTTGTTTTAAGTTCTTAGTTTGAATTTGTCAAGTATTTTTCCATCTTATTCTTTTCCAACCATGGCATTCAGATCACTCTCATGATGATAGTGATTTCTTGTGATTTAAATCGTGCCTTGGCATTGTTCATTGAATTATAAGTTATCAATTTCTTCCTCTGTCTTCTGTTGTCGGTTGCATATACAACAATAATTGCCATGGCTTCTTAGTTTAACCATCATGATTCTGGCTGATATTATCACAGAATGCATGTACTTCATATAATGATCTAGTATTAATCTAACCCTCTCTCTCATTTTTCTCTTTACCTGCATGTATCATCCTGTATGTGTTGCTGATAAAATCTGTGTTAGTTTTTTGTTTTTTTTATTCAGCAAATTTTGCTCAAGTAAACTGTCATTACATAAAACCTCTTTGTCATCTCTAAAAAAAAAAAAAATAAGTGAACAAAAAAGTAGGATGTTAAATATGATTGGTTTTTGGCAACTATAGATCTCTAGCTAGTGTGACATTGGTATGGATTTAAATATATTAAATGAATATATCTGGTGACTGCTTGGAATGGAAATTGATAAATTTATGTGAAAAGCCTAGGGAATCATAGTATGTAATTTTGATTTTGTTAGTATATCCATGGGGTAACTTTTTTTCTTCTACTTAAAGTTAGATTTGCCATTTTGAATTAATAACCTGGAAAGAGTGAGATTTGAACACAAGAGGTTGCCAAGAAAAAAGACAGGTGTTTGGATATCATCTGAAATGAGAAACTAAAAAAAAATATCATCCTCAAGAAAATAGAATTCTCAAGCTCACAGTTCAACTTCAGTTGGTTGTTGGAGAAATGAGACCCTAGGATACCACAACATAAGCATGTCAAATCTGGCCTTTGAAACCGTGGGGACAGTAGTCATAATTGGAGTCAGGGAAGATGCTGCAAATGGTTTTCACCATCTACTCCAAGATACTCTGTCTGAGAAGAGCTTGTCAGCTAAAGAAATTTTTTCTAACTTAAGGAGTTTGTTTGCAGACTGACAATCTAGTGAAATAGTTGGAAACCAGGTTTTGGAGACAAACATTGTCTGCTGACCTGAGACCAAAGTTCCTTGAATAAATTGCTGAAATTGACATGCTCCAAAGAGGTGACTAATAAGCCATCAGTTTGGGGCATGGCTGTTGATTTTGTGATATTGTAAATAATGCTGACACCTTATAACTCACAAACCGGCTGTAGTCATGTAGGATCACAGCATTGCATCCTCTCCTGTGTTCTCCTGGTCTCCCTCATTTCTGATATTGTCTTCCTCTGGGTCTGCAGGTGAACTTTCCGACCTTGTTCTTAAGAACAACAGAGTATCTGAGTCACTCTCAGATGACAGACTATTTCTGCTATCTTCTGAAGCAGAAAATTCATGACATGGTCACAGGTCTTTCACATGGCACGGTGTTCCATTACTGTTTGGCGATTTGCCCTTTACCAAATCTGCCGTGTGGGACTGTCACCCAGACATTGTCATCCAATTGATACTGATTATTTATGCTGTTAGATGATGGTAGTGACACGTTTATCCTTTTCATGTGGTATTCATATTGGTAAATTTAGTTGGCTCGTGCAGTTGACACAGGCTTCTGGAAGGTGGCACTGTGTTCTGGCTTCAATTCTTTTAATGGTGCGGTAACATTACTCTACTATACCATCACCCTCTGGAATGTAGACACATCAGTATCACATCTGCACTCTCCATTCATCTAGACTGGTTGACTGTGTTCACAAAACACTGCCTGTAGCTGTCATATGACAGTTGATGTGTCCTGGTGTGTCAGCAGATACCAAACAGTAAAACGTGTCAGACCACAATCTGTGAGTCAAGAAATGGGTTCTATTGTAGCGTGTGATATCCATGCCTAACTGCAACCAATTGCTATCCACTTCAAGTCTCCCCCTTTTGCCAATGGACTGGGGTTGGGTCTACCATCTAACACTCCTTGCAGTCTTGTATTGACAACTGTCTTCATAGTCAAGGGGCACACTCTTCAGACAGTAGGCTGTATACGAAATGCCAGGATGTGTACTTTGATGGTGTATGGTGCAGATTTGCTCAGGTGTCAATTGGTCCGTTAACACAGTGCATGTAATTGGCAATGAGTCGGTCCCTTGTTTGATTATGTCAAGCCACTGTTTTGTTATCTGAGATAGCCTATCCATTAGATTCTGCTCTGATGCAATCAAGGTGACATCAACAACCAAACTGTACTCATCAATCAACTGTTTTATGGTCGCCAACCTTTGTTGTAATAATGTCTCGTGTGAGCTTTGGTTCTGATTTTGCTTGTCGAGTTGATGGTCGACCAGCTGGTGTAATCACAGTGCCTCCTAATGCTTTTATGGCATCAATCCCAATCAGTAGATCATAGCCAAGAGGTTTGTCTTGCACAGCTCACACACCAACTTCAGCATGGTTACCTTGTTTGGTGTGAATCAGAACAACTCTAGCTCCACTGCAAACTTAGGTCACACCGCTGATTGTTACATCTATGCATTTCCTCCTTCACGATCGACTGCAATGTGCACTAATTATTGACCTGGAACATCTGGTGTCGACAAGTGCTGAACACTGTACACCATTTACCTGGACACTGACTGTTGGTAATGATATGTTTACTTTCTTATAAGAGACAAGGTTGGCAATGATATCTTGTTCTTGGATCCATTTCCCAAACAATTCCATGCCGCATGACCCAGATTACAATGATAGTACCTCAGCTGTCTCTGTGCTCCCCACACCACTTTGACACTCCCTTGCATAGGTGGTTAGGACCACCACATTTGCTTATTGTGATTGCCAATGGTAGAGGAATAACTTGGCGTATGTCTCTCTAGTTGGGATATTGCTCTGCTGTCAGTTCTTGCTGCTACCACTGGTTCCACTTATTTGTGAATGGCCTGGGCTTGAGCCAAGAGCTGGCTGTTCGATAGTTCATCCAAGCTGCTGGTATACAGTGTAGGTATCTCCCAAAAGCATCAAAGGAATGACTGTCTGCAAATGAGCTGAGCCTTTTCCATCCACTCAACAACAGATAGGCCAGTGGACGAACCATCGAACTCTAGTATCAACTCAAATCAGTTCATGAGTAGTAAGTGTCAAAATAGCTTGTAATCAGTTTCATCATACATGGAATAAAGTTCCCTAATCTGTTTTGTCCACCATACAGCATAGCACAAGTCAAACAGTCCAACATGCATCTCCTGTTCACTATCAAAATTGCACTGCTATGTTGCCTCGTCAAGTATTTTCTGTAGCATGAGTGACAGGTCAAATTTGCATAGGTGCCGGACGGAATCTTGTGAGACGAACCTGACTTTGAGATCTATCATTTCTCAAATGTATGACTTGTAAAGCCACCATTTTCTTTTTGGGATACTTTACATGCAAGACAAGTTTGAATCTGCTTTCTACCAGGAGGTAAGTCATTTCCTCTTATGTTACATACTGTTTGGAAACAAAAGAATCTATGGTCAGAGATAATTATTTTCAGTGGTTCCATCATAGCCACTATTGTATTTCTTCTATCTCTTTGCCCCTGTATGGCCAACAAACATGGCTTCTCATCAGTGATTTTATTCTACAGAGGCTGAGATATCCTGCAAAAAATATTTTAACACCAGCATCTGTAAAAAAAACATTGACACTATCATACATCCTGAACGTTTAAAAAAATAAAAAAAGACATTAAAAACTGTGAGAACCTCTATAATTTTTTTCCTCTGTTACTTTTGCAACAATACATAACTTTTTGAATGACATTTTTTTTGTTCTTCCTTTTTATTACTCTGTTATTATTTTAGTTATTATAGATAGTACTCTGATAACTTTCTGTATAATCTGTTTTTGAATTGCTCATTCAAATTTGATGGATAACGTGATTAGGTATGTAAGTTGAGATAAATTTATGTTGTGTGTGACAAGCCATCAATATGGTTCATTTTAGTGGAAGTAATTGTCCCTTAGTTATTCAATAGATTTTTTATTTTTTCTGCAATCAAAATGATCTACTTGTAAAACTTAAAAGATTTACATATTCCTTTCTTAATTATTGGTCTCAATTGATTTTCATTTTTATGGAATGTAATTTGCTGCTGAGAAAATGTTTTTTTTTTTTTTTTTTTTTTTAAATTGCTTTTTCAGCTGCTTTTATTAACAATGCAGATTGCTGTGAAGGATTTTTTTGTTTCATTGTTTGTGCATGTACGATTTCTCTTTTGTTTAAAATGAAAGGAATTCTAACAGTTGTTCTTAGTTGATAAATTAGTAACCTATTTTGAAACTTAAATAAATTGTAAATGTTTTATAAGAATCATTGTACATGACATTAAAATAGGATATGGTTGTATTTGAATTTACAGTGTTGCTTTTTAAATTACCCTTTGTCCTTCAATATTGGATTTGAATGAATCATTTCATTTATTTGTATGTATAACTTTCAATGTTGTTTCAAATTTACCAAGTGCTTTTTATGAAAATGTAAGCACAACTTCAGAATTTGTATCAACTGGAAGCAGACCAAAAGATTTATTGCTTTTGAATGAATTCTTTTTTATCTTTAAATTGCTTTTTTCTTTGAATTTTAAATTTGAGAAGTTCATTCATTTTCTAAAAACATTTCATGGTAATTGTTGCAAATGAGTAATGTTATGTGCTTTTCTGGGTAAAAAATAGAAATGCTGCTGCTAGTTGCAAATTATTTAAGACATTGAAAACCTTGTCTTTCAGGACCAAACATCACAAGAAGTGGATTTTCATATTGATCAAAGGTAAGCAGTTTGAGTTTCATTATGAACTTCTAAATTCCTGCTTAATGGTTTTATACCGATGTTAATTTCCAATATCCTCTTAAATAAAATAAAAAAAGATATGCAAACTATTTAAAGTCTAGTGATTAACTTTTAAATTTTTTTTTTCTTATGCTGTTTCCCAAACAACCGCTGTCGATGGTATGCAATTTTTAAACAGTTTTAAAATCTCTATTGCAATATAAATATATATTTGATGTATGGATGACCAAAATTAATAGAATTTGTCTCAAAGAATTCCTTCAGTCTTTAAAGACATATTCCTGTCTAATTTATTTGGTTATCTTAAAATAATTTCTGTAGATTTAAAAAAAAAAAATTCTTGAAGATTACAACCAATCTATCAATTACCTCTCTCCTAACTCTTAGCATTTATACATTATTCTCAAATTATTCCACTATATTTAGAAGGTCCTATTAATAGTTTAGTGAATTTTTAGATGTTGGGTTTCTTTTAAAATTAACTTTTTAAATTGATTTTTGTAATTGTTTCTCTGCTTATTTTAGCTCTCTTGTAAGTACAGTTGAAACCGTCAAAGTTGTCTAGAAAATGAAAACCTAATTTTTTATCTATTGTCCTTTTTAAGTATTTGTTTTGTTGTTGCAGTATTGGTCTTTTATAAATTGAAATATTTTTGTTATGCAAATATTTTCATCTTGGCATCAAATCTCTTTTCTCCTGGTAAAGAGTATTTGAAAAGATAACTTTTTCCCTCACTGGTAAAGTTAGAGGAGTTCTTTTGTATACATACTCTCATTGTTGAATTCTTCCTTACTTCAGATTCAACATAATTTAAAAAGTGGTAACTTATATCAAAGATTTTTATTTATTTATTTGAACACTTTCCTCTTTATTCAGTGGAAATATCATTGTGTTATACTGACATCTCAGTATTTCATTTTTGGTAACTCCTGTTTTTATACTGCAACTTCTCATCTCTCATGCAAGGTTTTATGAAGTTTGACATTAGCCACCAAATGTGACAGGTATATAATTAACATTAAATAAACTTCTTTTTCCTGACCTAAAATAGATTTTCAGTTTCAAACAGGAGTTTGAAAATTAGAATATATCAATTTCTTGGTACAAATATATTTTCAATGTTTCATGTCCAAAGGGTTTGATTTTTGCCAACTGGATAAATGTGATTCAATAACATTATCTATATTTTGATTTGCATTTAAAAACTGTATATAGTAAAAGTATTTTCATGTTCCATTTGTTTTTTTTATGGTGTTTAATGTTTTTTATAACTTCTCTTTACAAATGATTTTTGACTTTTAAAAATATTTATCCAATTTTTCTCTTGCATTTCCGAGCATGTTAATTTTGTTAAATAATCCAAATGCTTTTTATCTTAGCAGTTTATTAAAATATACATTGATATTTATACTTTCTTGATTTTAGTTATTGTTTTACCAACTTTTATTCACTATTCAATTATCAATGCTTATATGATGATAATCACAACATCATGTGAATATAGGAACATTGGACAAACATCTACATCTTTGTTGTTATCACAATGTTTTTGCTATTGTGACTCTAAGTCTGTACTACCTGGCTCAGGGATTGAACTCAGTATGCTATCAAATTGATGAACCATTGCTTTGATCACTAGTTCTACCTAATTCAGTTCAAAATTCCATGAAGAAAGCCAGAGGAGACAACAGCCAAAATATTGTGATAACGGTAAAGAAAAGAAAAAGTCAGACAGAAATAGGAATTTGTCTTTTCCGTTATTTATCATGAAATTATGACTGATTTCTTCAATTTATATATTGAGGGTGAACTTTATGGAATTAATAATATTTAGAAAAATTGATTGCAAAAATATTTTGACTCTTTCAGGTTTTTTCTTTTGGATTTTGATTCTCTTTTTGTTTTGTTTTGTTATTTTTTTTTTTTTTTTTTTTTGTAATGAATAGAAATAGAGTATTTTTTTTTTTTTTTTTTTAGGCCAACAGCTTCAACAGAATCTCTTCATCAGTTATCACAGCATATCAATGATCTTCTTAATGAAGTAAGTTTTTATTTTTTTAAACAATGTTTTCTGTAAATCATTTACAATTGGATTTGTAGAATATCTTTTTTTTTTTCTTTAATCATCCCCCTCCAAAGAAAGGTGATAAAGGTCCTAAGACACAAGGGTGTTACTGAGTAAAAGAAACTGAGAATAACATTATCAAGGAGAAAGGACAATAAAAGAACAGGATTCAAGGAGCTAAAAGATGATGATTGACATTGCATCTAAATTTTTGAAGATCAGAAATGTTTAGTAATGCAAGAACTGTCATCAAGTGCAATAATGGAAATTTATGGCAATTTCATAAAAACTCTTCAAATAATTTCCTGATATTTTCTTTCTATAAGAATATTTTTTCTCTCTCTCTAAAATGTTAGCTATTCTGTAACAATTCCAACAATATTTTCTTTTTAAAATATTATTAATGTTGAAATTTCATTAACCAACATTTTCTTTATTCTATTTTCTATATGAAATGCTTCTATTTTCTTCTTTGTCTTATGGAAGTAATTAAGGCCAGAATCAAAGCTTGAATATACAGTTGTTTTTTTTTCTTTATGAATGACTTTGGTCCTTAATGACATTTTAAAAATCAATTTCTTTCTTTCAGTCTAGTGCTGCCATCAATGGAGAAATTCCTGTGGCAAAATCCAGTATTTCTCAACTTGAGGTAAGTTCATTTGAAAATATGGTTTTTAAAGGTAGTGAAGAAAATGTTACCAACAGAAAGTTTGAAGTCTATGAAATGTTTTTTTTTTCCTTATCTAAATACAACTTCTATTGTAATTTATGCAGTTTTTGTTTGCATCATTTCAGTTGAATACAAAAAGAACTGCGTATTTCGAACATTTTATTGACTTCTTTGTACAACTTGCTAACTGAATCCCTTTTTTTATTAGTAATCATATTTTGCAAATGATAAGCTGTTATGCAACAATAATTCTGACTCTTTTTTCCTTCTTGATTCTATATTTGGTAGAAACGTAATCGAGAGTTGGCAGCTTTATTGGCCAAACACACAGAAGCAAATGAACAACTTCATGCACAAGTGCAACACTTGGTGAGTTCAACTCAAACTGATTCGCCTCTTTTTTCTTTCTAACATTAAAATGATTTTTTGAAAAATGTATTTCAGTCACACTCCCAATTTCCAATAGAAAAGTGAAATTCTAATCCTGAATTTGTTACATGAAAAAGAAAACAGATAGTTACAAGAACAAATAGGACAGAATTCACTTCCAATCAGTTTTTATTCACTTTATGTGCACGTGCACAGACACACACACTCACTCTCTCATTCACTCACACACATAAAAATTCGCATGTCTATTTTATTTTTGCTGTATTAACAGTTTGCTAGTTGTTTCTAATTTGGACCACTAAATACCTGGCTGTGTTGATTTTTATATATATATATATATATATATATATATATATATATATATATATCTATATCTTTTAAATATTTCTTTGCTTTTCTGCAACTTTTCACTTTAAAAACTAAATAGAATTTTTAAACTGAATATTCTGTCTTTTTCTAATGACTGAAATAGTGATTGGATAAGGAACTGAGTTGCTTCCCTTTATATAGAAGTTTTTTTGAGAGATTGCCAATAGTGAAATATATTGCAAAGATACCTTTTTACATTATTCTTGTTTAATCATTTCACCCCAAGCAAGGCGAGAGTGACACTAGTACACAGGAAGTTACAGAGAGTGAAAAGTCTGGGTATAGAGGGGATTGAGGAAAGGATAGAAGATGAACGAGGTTCAGTAAATGAAGGAATAATATGAAAGCATATCCAAGGTCTGCCTCAGTGAGACAGTATTAGATGGGGATGGCAATATCTGGAGTGTGTGCAAGTGATCAGGATCTGGCCGAATAATATTATGGCTTACATCATACCAGAGTATTTTAATACTTGGAAGATATTACAGATTTTGATTCATTTAAGACCAATTTTTTTTGTGCTGCTTGTTGGAATCACTGATAATTCTGATCATGGTGTTTTTGATCATAACCTCCAATAATGATTTTTGTCTCCCATCTGTCTCAATTATTGGAATCTGATGGTAGGCACTCTTTAGGTCAAAAGTTGAAAATACTTTGTACCTTGCCAGACTGTTTGTCATATCAGTCCAAGGCATAAGGTAGGCGTCCCACTGTGTATATAGATTAACCATTTGGGAATAATCTACACAGAACCGTTTATTGTGCTTATTGGTAAGGTCCTTCGCAACAACCAACTGGGCTCTTCATGGTGAATAGCAGGGTTCAATGATGTTATCTGAGAGTCACTGAGAAACTTTCCACTCAATGAATGCCTGATTATCTCTACTAAAACACCAGGATTTGGTAGCAACAGGGTAGACATTCACAGGTATACTGGAAAATAGTGAGGATATATTTACCCAAGCTGCAGCAAGAACACAGTGTGCATTTCTTTGACTAACTCTTAAATCATCTTTATTCCCACCATAAGTGAAGATTACGCTTTTGTGTAGCTTCTGAAACTCATATCCAAGAATTATCACCACACATAGCTTATCTAAAACTCTGAATTTTGCTTTTCTGTATTTCCTGTCACTTACTTCTATATCGGAAATGCAAACATTGGTATATTTGAGTGATTTGGAGAATCTGGGATTACGCACAAACTTGGTTTAAAATTAAACATTATGGCTGTTGTCCCAGATGATTTGGTCTTAGATTGGCAAACCATTGAAAAGTGTCTGTTTTTTTCTACAATTAAAACGTGACACTACAAGCAGGACAGACTTTCTGATTATGAGCTGTTACTACAAAATTGGCACTTTTTCTGGTAAGATACTTTTGGCAGGGCTAGAGTTGTGGGGCTCTCTTCTGAACATTTACTCTTGGTACCAACAGCAGCTACTACACCTGGGACCAATGAAGTGCTTGTAGAGGAGTAAGGTTTTGAATTTCTCTGGGTGAGATCAAGTGCACAGGCTTGATTGAAGACAACAATAGATCCAGTGTTGAATTTCCCAGCAACTGCTGCCTAATATATTTGGATGAAATCCCACTTATAAATGCATCTCTGATTTGCTCTTTTCTGTATTGTTCAGCAGTGACTTTTTTTATTGTTGTAATCTTTACTAAGATTTTGGAGTTTCTGAAGAAAATTCTCAAGTGACTCCTCTGGCTTTTGGCATCTGATTAAAAGCTGATGTCTAGCGGAGATCTCATTAGGTGTTTTGATATATAGTTGGTCCAATGTTTGGATGGCTTCCTCATAATTTGTATAATTTTCGATGTACTTATTCGCCCTGGATGAAATCCAATTTATCAGATCAAAACTTGTTGGTGCTTCATCCTCAGCTTCCTGAATAAAATTTTCAAACATTCTTTTCCAATTCTTCTAGTCCTTAGAAGCACTAGGGGCATTGTGTTCTAGGTTCAGTTAATATGGCTTGAGTATTTTGGACATGTTAAATTTCTCCCTCTTTTGTTGAATAAATTGTTATGAATTTAAACACAGTTCAAGAACAGCAGGAAGACAAGATGGCAATAACCTTAAGAAACTGAGCCAAGCAACACTATTGGTGCCTATTGACATAATCCCCCTCTCTAAAATACAGCAGAATTTATAAAAGAAAATGTATGTTCATTTGCATACAATAAATTTACATACAAAACACCAAAGAGGAGTTCATTTCATATCAGATACCAGATGTAACATGGAGAGAAAATAATGACGTAATCAAAATGTTGATGTTCCACACAACTTCAAACAAAAAGTTAGGAGGGAATATACCCCCTTCACTCCTGGCCTCAGTATTGGAAAGAGCAATAACAGTTACTGACTTGAGAAACCTATTTTCTTGAAAAATTATTTTTTTAAGAGAAAGATTTTATGAATTTCAACTGAAAGTAGAACTGGCTGTTCAGTCAATGAATGCTAAATGTTTCCTTGTAAGAAAACACCTAATATTACTATTACCATTCTGTAAATTTTTATATAAACTTAAAAGAATTGGGTCTGTGTGAATGTATAAGCGACTATTAGTTACTTCCCTTTATATGAGTGCTTTTGGAGGGCTTCAAACAACAAATCTGATTAGTAGCAGTTTGTAATGGAAGCTTAGATAGTAAATATTGTATGTAGATACCTTTCACGGAAGTTTTACTGTTGTCATATCTTAACTTCTAAGTTTGTAAAACATTGATTTGTTTTTTTTTTGTTTTTTTTAGATGTGTTGTAGTAAAGAAAAGACTGTCAACTTATAGTAGCAACTGCAATAGATTTCTTCCGTTTCTCAACTGCAACACTTGTAGCCAAATCGCAGTTCAAATGATAGCCCGTCGTAATAGTCCAACAAAGTAGAAACGACAAAATGGGGTCAGACGTCCAACCTTCACGTCTCACGAGCAAAAAAATGCTTGTTCCGCCAGCAGCTCAGAAAATCTTCTGCCTTTATAAGCGAAAAACAGCTTTGATTCATCAAGAGTTTTTTCTGATTGGTCACGCCATTCAGGGAAGGGGAGAACATTAGCATAGATTATAGTCATTGAAGTAGATTTTTGCTAACTACTTTTTGTAATTTTTCTTTGGCAGATCGCACACAGAACACAAACTTTTTTCGGGGTAAATGATTATCTCTTTCACTACAAGATGTTTTTGTGTTTTATCATTTTCTTTTTTGGACCAAAATTTCTTACTAGTGTGGGATTTTGTTTAATCTATTTTGTTTGGTTTTCAGAGAAGTCAATCTCAGCATTTACAAAAAGAACTGGATGGTGAAAGACAAACTTTTGAAGACAAACAGAAAAGAGAAGTAGGGTCATTAAAAGAACAATTGCAGGTTAGTTAAATGTTTGCATAGAAATTCTCCATTTTTTTTATTTTTTTTTTTTTTTTAATTTTTTTTTTTAACTGCAGTCTCTTTGTATCTTATTCTGTTCATAGTGTCTTGGAAATACCCTGGATATGATCTTTGGGATCCCCAAGCACTTTCTTGGATTTTGGAAGGTTTTTCTTGTCTACTTGGAGAATTTTAAACCCAGAGAAATTTTATTTAGATGTATTTTTAACACATTTAATTTGAAAATATTATTTTTGTAGATTCTATTTTTCATTTTTTTTTATTTTAGGTTCACATTCAAACTATAGGGATTTTAGTTGCTGAAAAAACAGAACTACAGTCTAAAATCAGTCAACTGCAAAAACTGTCTGATCAAAGGCTGGGTAAGTCAACTTGCACTTTTTATTATCAATTAGGTTTCTCATTTTCACCTCTCTCGTTTTAAAACAGTTTTGTTCTTTTTCTATTGAAGCAACTTTTTTTTTTTTCTTTTAACTTATCCTTAACTGGTTTAATTAACTTAAGAATTTAACACATTTAATTTACTTTTTTCCCAATTACAGAGGAAATTGACGATATGAATAGTCGTTTTAGAGTTTCCAAGCAGCGGATTTCAGAGTTGGAACGAAGTATAGCATCAGTAAATTCTTCAAGTCAGCAATATGAGAAGGTAATGTTTGAATGCTCTTAAAATAATGTCTTTTAATGTTAGTCAAAAAAACTTTGATGGTAAATTATTTTGTTTACTTTTAAATTCTCATTTATTTGGAGTGAATAATGTTTAGAGACCTCAAAATAAATCCTTATTATTCTACTCCTTGTTAATCCTTCAAATGAATCAAGGAGAGAATTTTCTCTGATTTTTGCTTTTACATAATTCTTTTTGCTCTCCTCAAAGATCAGTTAATTATTTTGAGAAAAAGAATTTTTCATTTGCTTTGATCAACTTTAAAACAATTAACTTTTCACACCTGTTTCTCTTTCACTTTCATTCTTTGAGATTTCTAGTTCCTAATTATTTAGAAAGATGCACAGATTGTAGTAAAAAAAAACAAAAAAAAACTAATTTTTCATGTATCAAAAAAAAAAAAAATAACCAGTTATAATTGTCTTTAAATAACTGAAATTTTGCTTGCTCACCTTATCATTGTATGTTAAATGGATACCTGAAATTTGGTACTTTCTATTCAAAGCATCAAAATCCTGAAGATATCTTGGATTATCTAGTATCACTTTTGGATAATGTTCATTTTTGTGAGTTATTTTGTTCTTTGTCCATTTTACGCTTTAGTTTTTCTCTTTTTGCTTTGTTAAACAAGTTTTTTTTTTTTTTTTTTTTTTTCTCTCTTCAGAGTAGTAAAGAATTTGCTAAAGATATTGACCGGTTGAAATTGGAATTATATAAATCAAAGTAAGTAGATTTTTGGCACTTTTTTTTCTCCTTTTATTTATGTTAACTTTTATACCATTGTTTTGTTTTCAAGACTTGTTTTTTCTGAAAATGACAAATCTTTAAAATGAAAAGGTAAATTTTGTTTTATAAACAAATGTCCAGATTAAGAATTTCTGTGCCAGTTTCAATTGTAACTCTGAAATTAGACTTCAACTCTTCATAACTTTTCTTCCATAGATTCTAGACAACACAGTGCACTTTCAAACATACAATAAGGATAGAAACCAAATTTTGCAGCTCCAATAGAAACAATGGCACCAAATAAGCAATCTTGAACCATTGCTAAAATATTGCATGTAAATTAATGCAGTTTTTCTTTCTTTTTGAAAGCTGTTGTTTTAGTTAACAGCTTGCAAAAACAGAATTTATCCCCACCCCCGGCCATCAAACACACACATTGTCGTGGGTTAATAGTGATTACTGTCTTTCTAACCCGGTCAACAAATGAGTTTAAAGAAATCTTTTGATTAGTGCCTGTCAAGTGAATTCCTTTCTAAATTAATAGCCTAAAGTGTACTGTTAATTAAAAACAAATGAAAAGCTGAATTTCTATGCATTTTCTTGTAATATTTGTTTAATCCTTACTTATCCATTATCTAGTGATATGACAAGAAACCAATATCTAAACTAAGAGAAGAGTAAAGCTCTGTCAAGACAGGGAATTATCAGATGAAGATTTGCTTTAGAATGGTTTGGTGACTTAATCTGAACCTGAAAAATTGAAATTGTTGTGTAGAAGGAAAAAGTTCTAAGTGATAAAAAATGTGATGTTTTTTTTTATTTGTAATTTATGATTGAATCCTTGATTAATTCTAGTTGAAAAGTTTCAATCAAGATATACAAAACAAAAATGTTTTATATTAGTTTCTATATGGTAATTTCAGCAACTGTAACCTAGACTTGATAGAAAAGGCAGAATGTAGTAGTGAGATAATATTTGCACCCATATATAAGCATCATCTATTGTGTGTTGAGTGGGTGGGGGTGGATTGTATAGATTTCTGTTATTATCAAATATGGTTTTTCAGGGTGCATCTTTATATAATCTCAGACTTAATCTGTAGCCATCCAGTCAGGACATGACAGGTTCATCCAGTTTTCCTTTAGTTTTTATTCTTTTTTATTTATTTATTTTTTAACATTTTTTATTAGAAAGGTAATTCATTTTGAAAATTTTCTTTTAACATTGTAAAAGAGATGAAATTTTAATGGCATTTTTAAAAAAAACATTTTTTCAGTCAAACTACTGAGGAATTACGACAACAAACATTTGAACTTACTGAAAAATTAAACTTCAAGGTAATAATATTTTGTCTTTTTTCTTAATTTCTGATTTTTGATTAATTCTGTGTTATTTCCTAGACAATAAAAATTCTTCATGTTATCCTTTAAAAGAATGAACTGTTTGCCTTTGCCTTTGATCAGTAAATATTTTGGCCAGTCCAATGTTTACATTCACAATTGTGTGTGTGTTTTTTAATACATAGTACAGGTAGATTTTGATGATCTAGGACTGAGTTTTCAACTGGTGTGCTGCGATAGGTTTGTAGATGTGCTGTAAAAATTTTTAAAGGTCATTAATTAAATTATTTTTTTTAAATAAGTCCAAAGCACAATAGGTGTACATATCATTGATCATACAAGTATATCATTGTTATAATAAATAAATTTTGACATAATATATAAGGTAGATGGGGTGCACAAAATGCCCATAGATGGCACAATTTGGCAAGAACTTGCTGATAAACACGGATATATGCTGAAATCATCCAGAGTTGATTTTGGGAATGACTCGGCAATTCCTCATTTTGCATGTACTGAATTGTTACAGAAGTAATAAGTGTAGATCATACTGAACGTGTTTGTTTTTTTTTGCTTGTATTACGTAGCTTTTAATTAAAATGAACAAGTTTTTAATTAAGAAACAAAAATTAGAAAACTATGCTAATGCAATGAATACTGTTTCATCCAAGTACATCAGCAACCAAATTAAAAAAATAAATTATTTGTTAATACAATGAAGACTATCATTTGGTTTCATATGTAGTGAAAGAAATCCTCTACGACCTATATGCATAATTTGTGGTAAAACTTTAGCAAATAGTGCTATGGTTCCTACCAAATTAGAGATATTTACAATCCAGACATTTACACTTGTCTAAAAAGCCGGCAGAATATTTCAAACAATTTTAATTCAGTAATACTAAAGAAGCAAGAATATGGATGATATATGCAATTAGACAAATATAAAGCATGAGAAACAAGTTACACAGTTGTTGAAATTGTAGCTCAGAGGAAAAAGAAAAAAAAGCTCATAAAATTGCAGAATCTGTTATTTTACTGATCTGCTGTGCAATTGTAAAAACAATGTTTAGAGAAGAATATGAAAAAGGAAATTTTAAAAATTCCACTGTCAGATAACAAATTTCTTGGCATGTTAAGGATTTATTTAAAAATATAGAATTTCAAGTAATATCTCAGCTTAAAACATGTTTACAATTCAGTTGGATGAATCTCCTGATATCAGTGGTAAACCCCAACTTCTAGCATTCAGTAGTTTTGTTTGTAAAGAAGAAATCATAGAACAGTTTTTATTTTGTCAACCACACCAAACAAAAAGGGCCAAGTTATTTTCAGTTTGATTGATAATTACATCAATTATAATAACCTGTCTTGGGACTCCTGCATTAGTATTTGTACAGATGGAGCTCCATCTATGTCCAGAAATGTAAAAGATATTCTAAAAAAAAACAAAAAAACGTCAACCTCAAATGTTTCATTAAATTGTAATGAACAGAAAGATAAATAAATATAAGTTTTTGTGAGAATTTTAATTATCTTTCAATTACAAGTTATAATGAATTTTGTTTTTGTTAAGAAATAAATCATAAAAAGTAAACTTAAGTTAAATGTGTTGCAGAAGTTTAAAAAATGTTCAAGCATGCCGTGAGATAAGAAAAAAAAAGATGAAAAACCTTGATCTAGGAGATTGTTGTGGTGCAATGTTGGTTCTTTTCTAGGGGAGTTATTTGGTTATGTTCATCTCCTCTCCAAGTAATATGATTGGTAATATTGGGTTACATGTTACCAGCAATTAGGAAGAATTCCTGATTTCAGTTATTGAATAAGCTTCTGAAAAGTTTTTATTTAATTGTTATTAATTGATTTCTATTGGAAATGTAAGTATATTTGATCACTTTGTCATTTTTGACTCTCCTCTTTGGTAGATTAAAAAAAAAAAGATATTCATGAATTCTTCCAATTTCTACTGGATGTATGGAAAATATCTTTTTTGCAGTCAGGTGAGGTTTGAGACTTTTTGTCATATTGATCTCATTGATTCTTCCTTGCAACACCTGTTGGTAGTGTTGTGGTAAGGACACCTTTTGAATTTATCCTGTAATTAACAGCTGCTCTTACAACACAACAGTTTGGACAAGCAAATTGAATAACCACTATACTTCCCATTTTTTTCTTTTTTTTTTTTTTGTAATTTTAAATTATGTTGTTTGGAAATACATAATAGCTCAAATAATGAGACAAGGTTTGCTTCGATGTTAATGAAATTTTATCAATCTGAATTGATTTTTAAATGTTATGGCAGTGTTGGCGGGGAAATAAATTTACAATCCAAAAGGAAATCCCATTTGGTTAATTGGCAAGGTTTGAAGTCCCTAGTAACATCTATTTATGCAGTAATCATGGCTATGATAGACTTTTGTTTCCCTTCTTTAATTGGAAGTATGAAAGTCATATCGCCTGACCACACTTCTTCATTTTTCTCTGTTCAAGACAAGTATCCACAGTTCTACAACTATTTTCTCTATTGGGTAGTTTGATATCACTAATATTGGTGTTAAGCCTGAGGACTTTTGTTTTTTGCATATTTGATATTTAGTTCAAATGATATGGTAGGTCCTTCGGTCTCAAAGATGTATTGGACAGCTTCTTCAATAGTGGAATCTGAGTAATATCATACACATAACCTAAATCTAGCAAATAAGATGTCTATACATTGGTTTGTAAGCCATGATCAAAACTGTCTAGAACATAATTCAGCACTACAATAAATAGAAATAGTTCCAGTCTGTCACCTTGGAGTATGCCCCTATTTTAATCTTAAAATATTGTACAGACAGATGAAATATTTAAAACCCATTGTTATAGCCTTTGTGATTATCTCATGGTTGCTTTCTGCTTAAAAAATATGTAGGAGCCATAAAACACACTGATAATTCTATGAACTGGTTTAGTTCTATTGTTCTGAGTAAAAAGTACTAAGCAACTTGTCATTGGATGCAATATGTACTTGAAGAAGGCTGAAGAATATCTCAGCCCAGACTAGCAAGATGAAAATTTAAGGTTATTTATTTGAATAATATGTTGGAAATTCAAATGAGTTTTTGCAGTTTTCTATTTTGGTTGTCATTTTTCCTCTGGTATTTTCCTTTATTTTCTTTCTCTTTTCCCTCTACTGTAATTTCATATATTTTGGTAATATTCTTATTAAATCCTAATTTTATAGAGAAAAACAGAAAATCTATGAAAGAGCTCCACTTGAGCTATCTTTATTTTCTGTTATTTCCAGTACAAATTTTGAAAGGTACTTTTAGCAAAAAAATCTCTTGTATGCTTAAAATGGATAATATTGAATAACATCCACTTTAATGTTTTTTTGTTTTTTTTAAAAGTTCAGTAATTAAAAGCCTAAATGTAAACTTGATTTTTGTTACAAAGAAAGTAACCTGTTTTTATTTATTTATTTATTTTTTTAAACAAGCAAAATTAGATTTTTTTAATATCATAGTTTACCTCCTAATAGAAGATTGTTTCAAACAAATTTAAATACAAGGTAATCAAACGTCCTTGCTGGTTTTGATTTATTAAAAAAAAAAAGTATAAATTTTTTTTTTTTTTTTTAATCACTTCACCCCAAACAAGGCAGGAGTGCCACTAGTACACAGGGGAGTTTAAGTGAGAGAAAAGACTGCTTATGGTGGTGGGGATTGAGGAAAGGATGAAAGATGAACGGAGTTCAAGACAACAGAAGATTGCGGTTGACATTGCTTTTAAATGTTTTTGAAGATTGTAGTCTTCAGGGAAGCAAGGAAACAGGGGAGTTCCACAGGCAGAAAGTGTGAGAAAAGAAACTGTTGGAGTAGAGGTGGTGGTTACATTTAACTATTTCAACAGTAAAAGTATGGGATCTTGATGCCAATCTAGTAGCACACTTAAATTCATGTAGTCAGGGCATTAGCAGAAAAGCTCATCAGAGTAGTTGCCATGAAAATATTTCTAGTAAAGACAAAGGGAAGCCACCGCACATCTGTGACAAAGTGACTGAAGTCGAGATAAGTCTGGTTCGATTACATTGCAGATCCTTCTTTGGATTTTGTCAAGAACCTCAAGATGACCAGTAAGAGCACCAGACCAGATATGGCAACAGTATTCAATGCATGGACAAATGGTAGATTTGAAAATGTGCAAGATAGGCTCTGACAAGAAAATCTTTCTGGCATAACACAATGAACTAACTTTCCTTGCAGTAGATGCAGCTGTTGACTCGGATGTAGTTGTTCCATCTCAAGTCAGTTGAAAATGTGAAGCCAAGAGGGTGCAGTGAGACGCTTTCCTGGAATCGAGCATCAGCTATACTGATAGCAGGCAGGGAAGTTTCTCTATGATGATTAAGTTAGAGGAGTTTAGTTTTGGAGGCATTAAAATTTACAAGCCATTTTCTGCCCTAGTTAACCACTGACTGGAGACCCTTTTCAAGAGCAGCAGCCAGGTAAAGTTTGTGACCTATACAGCAAATTTGACATAGTCCTCAAAGTAATCCCCATCGGCATCTAGAACCTTTTACCAACATGCCTCAAGCTGTGCAATGCCCAGGTGGTAGAAATCAAGTGTCTTGGATGTAAAGAAGTCTGTGTGCATCTGCTGCAAGTTTGCCTCATTTGCAAAAGATTTCCCATGATGGTGGTAATCTTTTGGTGTAAAGTCCAGAGAGTAAAGCTAAGTCCCTGGCCACTCATGCTACATGAGGTCTGGCATTGTGATGGAGGAACAGTACACCCTTGTGATTAAACAATAGTGGCTCCCACATCAGTGTCTGTTGCACACATTCCTACTACTGTGATTACAGGTCTGCATTGACAGTTTGGCCCATTGGTTGACTAGTCTACTAGATCTTGTGTTGGGTGTAGAAGTAGTCTTGTGGTGTGAGGTACAAGGTCCCATGGTGACAACCAATGTCTGGCATGCTTGGAAGCGTCATACAGGACCCACTTTTCATCCCTGGGGAGCATGGGATTAAATATAGGTACATTGCAGTAGCAAGAAAGCAAAACGAGAAACAGGCTCTCATTTGTTGCTTATTGGTTTCCAACAGTATGTAGGTACCCAATTGCTCAACTTGTACGACTTCCCTATGTGGTGCAGATGAAGTCTGATTGTTTAATCAGAAACATGGAAGCATTCAGCAAGCTCAGCACAGGTTTGGCTGTTGTCCTCCTCCTGTGGCTGCTTTCAGGGCTTCGTCATCCAGGACTTGTGACAGGCCACTATAGGGTTCATTACAAAAGGACAGATCTCCTGACCTGAATTTCTGGAACCAGTGCCTGGCAGTGTGTTCCCTCACAGCATTGTCTCCAAAGACTCAATGTATTTGTCAACTTGATGCAACTGTGGACAAGCCCACCTTAAAATCATAAAGCAGATAACCCTGAAAAAACTACCTTCAATGCCACCATATTTCCTTGCTGCTGCTCGAGCTATGACTGATGTGTGTGTGCAATGCACAGGTATTAGTCAAGAGCCGTGTAACCACCCTGCCACTGCTTTCCTGGCATGTAATGCATTTGCTTATCAATGATCACTTCTCACAAAATATGGCAGGGACTTTTTTGGTTACCTTATATTTGAAAGCTCTGTAATTAGTCATATAGAAATCAATTCTCTGAAAAGAGAGTTAATGATTGTTCGACTGTGGAGATAAAAATTATGTGGTTTTGGTTAAAAATAAGTGTTTATCTTTCTATATACATTTACAGTGGCTGAACTTTCAGCTGTTAAAAGTCCAAAGTTTACAATGAGTAATAGGTTTTTATTGCATTGTAAATAGTGTTGGGAGCTTGATATACTGAAAACATTAGCTGAAAAAAAAAAAAAAGAAATAACGATTTCCAAAACTGACATAATTTTTTTTCTTGAGTGTTATATTTGTTACCAATGAAACAGTTATAATGGTTTTATAAACCTGAACACCCGAATTAATATGAATAATCTTGTATTGGCAAAAGAGCTTCTTACAGTAAATATGTATTTTCTATGATATGTAAAATGAGGATTGATAAGAAGCTATCAAACAGCAAGAAAGTAAAACATTAATTTGCTGAATACTTATGGAACATCATACATACTAAATTATATCCAATAATAAAAATTGATCAAGTATTTTATGACCTTGTCTGTTTTTTTTTGTTTTTTTTTTTCCCTTTGCAAATATTTTTTGCTTTATTGCATTGTTATTATTTCCAGAATAAGAGAAAAATAAAATCTATAATGAATTTTTATTATTCAAATGAATTAACCAAACATTTGAAAATTTGTATTAAAACAAAGAGCACTAAGTAGTTGGGAGATTAATTTTTGTGGTGAAAATAAAGGCATTTATATTCTGAGACTCTTTTCCAAGATTTTTGATTATTGAAAACATGAACGGTTTTCAAATGATTGTCATATTTTTAGTTAGCTGCCAGGATTTCATAAGCTTTTGAAATTGTTTACTATTGAATTGCAATCGTCTTTGATACAACTACTGTTTAACCAAAATCTGAAGACACTGTTTTGTGTTAGTGTTTTTTTTTTTTATTCCAATCTGAAAAACATTAAGTGAAAACAGTCATTTTGTGTATTTTCTTCTGATTTCTGATGGTATGAATTATTTTGGTTTAGATTTCAGAGTGTTTGGCTCATGAACAAAACTTAGAAGAATTTAAAAAGAAACTGGAAATGGCAGAGTTGTATGCACAGCAGGTAAGCAGTTTTAATGATCTGTCTCAATCTATGCTACAATCACTTTCATATTATCTAAATTCATTTGAAATATTTAATACTGCTTTCAAAGCTTCTCTGCTAATCAAATTCTCAATACAATCCTTTCATTTTTCACAAAGATATTGTCAAACATGAATCTTTATCAGGTAAAAATTTCTTAGCCTGAAACATCTATTATAGAGAAATAATCACTTAACACTGAACTTTATTTTAAAATTCTATCTATTAACTGCTACAAAAGAATATTACATTTTCATAGTTGGGCGAAAAAAAATCCTGAGAAAAAGTTTGTATAAAATTCTTTTGTGTTTGGTATTGGATAATTTACTTTCACTTATTTTCTGTCAAAGATCATTAATCATTTGAAATAAAAAATGAAAACATTTTTTGCTCCTCACTAGACCTTTCAATATTGAGGAAAATATTTAAAAAAAAAATTAGCCAGGGAAATATTTTCTTTTTCATCTTTTTTAATGGGCTACATTCTTATCTTTTTTTTTTTTTTTTTTTTTTTCCAGGGAACATTATAATTTTATTCTATTATGATATCACAGTTTATTTTGTTTTTCTTTGTCTCTTTATTGTAGTTAAGTAGTCAGAGTGATAAGGAATCAGTGAAACTTCTTGAATCTCTACAAGCAGAGAAAGAAGAATTAACAACCAAGGTTTTACACGTAAGTTCTTAGCATGTTTTTTTTCTTCTTCATCACCTCAAAATCTGCTTTATAGTTGGAAATCATGTCTATTCATAAAAAATTTTGTGGGTATAAATATGGGTTTTAATCTGTACTGCAGTTATAAGAAAAACATAAATTTAATTGTTTTTCTATGTAATCATCTGATTATTTTAATTCTTAACTTTGTCACAGATTTAGGTTACTTTTAAATTCCAATTAAGGCTGAAAGAAATGAGAATTATAATTTTGAAAAAGAATATTTACAGAATTCATAAAATCAATGCAAAAAATTCTGAGTAATGCCGATTGGGCAAACATACCCACAGTAAGACATCATGTCAAAAAGACAGTTTTCCTCATGATACCCACTATTTTAACTACCTTCGCTCTTCAGCAGCAATGTTTTATTGTTTTAAAAAGTGATGATTTGGAATAAAACCTAAACACATAATGAAAGCGAATTTATACATATTTTTATTCTTGAGAATTTACAACAAAAATATTAGACATTATTTATTTATTAGATTGTTTATTTACAACATTCTAAAAACTAATACAATGCAATATTTATCATTTACCAATTTATAAAGAAATAAATGTGAAAATTATTTTTTATTCATAAATTTATAAACATTTACTAAATTATTAAAAATATGTGAACCAACTATAAGGAAATCCTTATTTACCATTTTATAAAGTTTGAATAAATTGGTAATTAGCCAATGTTTTGCTAACCATGCCAATAAATAACACTGGGGAACATATATTTTCTTGAATGATATCTGACACTTGATTCTAGATAATTTAGGTGTGCTGAATATGAATTTCAACTTTGGCTCTATTAGGTCCTGATTCTTGTCAACAGCTTATGTACCATTTTACCGATTTTTCAAATTACGACTAAAAAATTGTGTTAAATGTATTTCTTCAAGTTTCGTGAATACAAGCAGTTCAAGCTATAGTACAATTACATTATAATGATAGAAATGACTTAAAATACAACAAACACATATGAAGCTTTCAATGTGGCAAAAATTTTATTTTACAAGATTTTCTAGCATATTTGCTTGTTGATGTCAAGTCTCTTTTCAAGCACCAGCAGTAATCAGCCATCATGTGGAAATATCAGCAACCTTGGTACCATTCCTCCATAATTTTGATATCTTGATGGAATCTCTCGCCTCATTTGTCAGTTACATGACCTAAATTACTTGGAAATTAGTCAAGATGGCTATTCAAAAAAAAAAAAAAATAACTAACACTTTGTAAACCCTTACACATTTTTATACCAGTTCTTCATAGTTAATTACCTAAAAAGTTTTCTATCAAGTCCACGAATAAGAATCAGGCATTTTTTTCATGTTCACTTATGACATTAGGAAAATTACTATCTTTAATTAGTGTTCTTATTTGTCGACTGTCAAAAGTCCCTGCCTTGATTTTTTTTTTTTTTTTTTTTTTTTTCTATAACTTGGAAATTTTGAAGTTATTTATTTGAAACACTTACCATTCATATTTAAAGCTTTTCCATATTCTTTAACAAGGCCTAGTTTGATATGCAGAGGAGGAAATATGATTTTATCTCTGCTCACTAAAGGCAGATTAATTTTTTTTTCTCTGACAGAGATGTACATGCTGACCAGATTTGTTGGAAATTCCTTGTCTCTGCTGTCTCATAAGCAAAGGAAGCAGAGCAGATATATTTAGTATACCCTCCTTGTTGTCCTAGGAGAAAATTAACCATTTTTAAGTCAACACATATGATCTAATCATGCTCCCTATATTTGATAAGATTTAAAACCTTTTCTATATGTTCATACTTTTCTTTTAATTTTGCTGAGTGCCCATTGGTATCGAGCTGTATAGATTGCCATTATGCAACAACAAACTTCTTTTCAAACTATCTAAAAACAAGCACCATTCATTTGTATCATAAGACTCAACCCCCATCTTAAACAAACCAAGTATGTTGCAGCAATATACTAAACTATCCTCTGTTCTAAAATATTTAAGAAATTCTTCTCTTTTTCTGTAAAATTAAATGTGTGTGTTTGAAGTAAGCAAGTTTTTCTATTTAAGTCTTGAAGCTAAGGTTTCTGCAGCCATTGTTGGCAAATTTAGAACCCTTACAAGATCATTCGACTCAGCCTGGTTAAACTTTTGCAGATCATTTTGACTTTCAAATATGCTGGTGTCAAAATCAGTGTCTTACTCCTCAGAGTGTATAACAATATTTTCAGGAACATCTTCAACTAATTCTTGAGTTGGTAGACCCTTAAATTTTGGAATGGGGACATCATTTGAATGTAGCACAGGTCATATGGTGTCAAAATTTAGGTACTTGATACAATGTTTATTTTTCTTAGTGAAGCCTGAAGTTTTGATAAAGCAAAAGTAGAAATTGGTCTTGTGGTTAGTAGGCTCTCACCACACCTGATATTGAAAAAAAAATGTAACTTGTTAACAAAAGTGACAAGAGACTTGTTTTTATGAATTTCATCAAAAGTTATCACCCAAAGATTTAACATTTCTATATGTTTCAGCCTTATACAATATTTGAGATTCTTATAAACATATTTTGTAAATTTTTGTTTATGTATCTAAGTTACAATTACATTTAATTAGGGATTAAATTACATAGTTTTATGAAATCAAAAACTTACCATGGGAACTCCAAAAGGTATTTTTGAATTTGAACTCTTCATCCAATGTCACAGTCTTTCAATGCATATAGTGCAGGTTTTATGTAGAGCCCACAATTTATGTTGCCCCACCTCTAGTTTTATTCCAAAATAAGCTAAGTAAGCTCTTTTTACAAAGTCAGTTATATTTGCTCCACATATAAAACAAAAGGAATCTGGGTTGTTTTTGCATTTGAACTTTCTAATGCTTGATGATAATATTGCTTGATTCTTCTGCCAATTTGTAAAGCCCTTAAATGATAAATTTAAGGAAATCTGAAATATAAACACAAGAATTGGTTTAAATTGGAACTTTTTATGAAATAAGTGCTTATAATCTATGAAATTAAACTAGAAACATGGATGAGTAGGTACAATATAAATTACGTCTAATTAAATCAAATAATGATGACAAAATTAATTGATAAGTCATATGTGAAGTCAAAATTATGTTAATACCCAAACTTAATTAACTGTCTGACTAACTCTGGAAATGAGTTCCTTTTATATATTTTAGCTGTCCCTCTAGAATATGCTTGAGAAAATTCTAGAATTCTGTCATATTTTTAGCTTAATCTACTAATGTTAATATTGGCTAAAAATGATAAAATTAAAAATATTTTTAGGGTGTTACATATAAAAGTATACATAGTAGATCAATACCATAACATTAGGTACAAATACCTAGATAAAAACCTAATTGCATAATGTGTAACTGCAAAAAGACTTTGCGTGTATTGAGAAAAAAACTTTATGAATACGATGAGAGGGTGTTGACCAGAATCAGGACCTGATAGAGCAAAACAAAGTAAAAATTTGTGCTCAGCACATCCAAATTACATAGAACTAACGGGGAAATCTAATTCAATAGACAAAAAATTTAACTTTCTTTCCCCAGTGATAATAAATAATATAGTGTAAATAAACAATAAATAAATAGGACTTATTATTTTTGTTGTCAATTCTCAAGAACAAAGGAAAAGTATAAATTCACTTTCATTATATATTTAGATAGGTACCTCCATGAGATCGCTAAAAAAAGAGCATAGCATGATGAAAAAGACGCCAAACTTGATGAAAACAAAATGTTATCGTCTAAATGTTTGTTATTATTAAGAGGGAAGATCAAAGTATTTTGGGGGTATTTTTTTTTACATTTTTTAATCGTTCCTAGCACGTCCGAAATTTTCGTTAAAAATCTTGTTTTTTTTTTTTTCAGCAAAATTGACCATTTTTTTCCACTTTATAAAAAAACTGGAAATCTCACTTTGAAATTCTTTTAAATATCAATTATCATTTTTTCAAAACTTATTTTAAGAAAATCAGAAATTATAATGTTTATTTAAAATATTTTGAACCAAGCTTAACTTAGCTTCTGTGCCGAAAAGATGTAATTTGAAAATAAAACAAAGCAGGTCATAAACTTTCACGTCACTTGACAGGTGATGAATGACATATTTTTTTTGCTTTCAGAAAATATTGTCCATATTCATAAAAACAACTAAAAGCATTTGAAATTAAATAATATATTTGTTTTATTGAGTTTTGTATGTTACAATTCAGAGCTAATTTTCAGGTGGGGGGGTCCAATTAAAAACAAAACATGATTTGCATTCCTCAAAGCCTTGTGCTTTTAACTATTGTAATCACTAAACCTGATGTGATCGAATTTCTAGCGTTTTCATAAAATTAGTTAGGGGGGGTAATAAATATAAAAAAAATATTTCTGCCATGACTTTAATAAAAAAAAAACATTTACAATAATTTCGATCATCTGTGAATAGTTCCTGAAAGTTTCATTAACATCCGACAATTATTTTTATTTTTGCAGGATTTTCCAAATTAATGTGTCCTACCAAAAAGAATGTGCTAAAAATTGTTATTTTACTAGTTCTGGTGATACAAAGAGAAACAAGGTTTTTTTAATCAAAATTCAGAATGTTCTAAAAAGAAGGAAAAATTTAAAAAGATAATTAAAAAAAACTTTGGTCTTTCGTCTTAATAATAACATAAGCATTTAGACGATAAAATTTTGTTTTCATCAAGGTTGGTGTTTTTTTCATCAAGCTATGCTCATTTTTTTTTAGCAATTTTGTGGCGGTACCTATATTTAGGTTTTATTCCAATTCTAATCATTGCTTTTTAAAACAACAAACATTGCCAAGTAGTGAAGCTAGGTAAAAAAAATGCTGTCATGGGGGGAAAAAAAACGTCCTTTTGACATTCTGTCTTATTGCAGACATGACGGTCCATGTTTGCTGCAAATTGTTTCTGTTAAATTTTACTTCAAAAAACTTTTTTAGAAATAATATTTAAAGATTTGAAGTTGAGAATAATTTTACATGCTTGGTTGACTTCATGGTTTTTTTTCCTCTGATCTTAAAAATTTTTCAGAATTTCTAGTGCAAAGGTCATTCTTTTCTTCTGTTTTTCTGAACCCCAATCATTACTTATTCACAATATTAACATAACACGAAATCTTTAAAACATGAAGATTATTCTCTTATGTGACACTTTAAAAGCAATTTGTCTGAATAAAATACACCAAATACTTTATTTTTAACATAGGAATTTGTAAGAATGAGAATATGCCGTATATACTAGTGTACAAGTTGACTCTATGTATAGTGCAATTTCTAAATTTTTTTTGCATGAATCTTAACCCCTCCAAAAAAAAAAAAAAATGTACCTGTGTATATCGTGCAAGCAGTTACTGAAAATGCATGACTTTTTAACCTCTGTCAAAAAATTACCTGTGTATAGTGTAATCCCCCCCCCCGCAATTTTCTACATGAAATTTTCTGATCATGAAAACTTGCACTATACTCATCGAGTATATATTGTAAACACACCTTCACTGGTCTTTTGAAAAGTAAATATAGATATATTGAAAACTATTATAGTTTGATCTGATTTGAAGTTTCTTTTCTAAAGATTCTAGTTTGATTATCAGTTTTATGTAGAGACCAAATAAAAAAAAAATTGCTAATGTGATTTGATATTAGTCTCAATTATTAAAGCTGCTCGCTAGAACCAGATGTCATACAATACATAATAATTATTCTTCTCTTTTTACACATTTCATCAGGTATATTCTTTGACCTTTATTAGGTTTCTTCTTCATCAAATTTTGAGGATTTACTTTGTAAATTATTTTTTGTCTCTCTTTCCACTAATCCAACAGAATCGCAAGAAGACTAAAGTCTTATGTTAGTATTGATAAGAGAATAATTTCCAAGTGCTAGATCTTGGAAAGTCTAAATAATATTGCTAAAAGGAACAGATGAAGAGCCTGAATATTTAGATGAAATAATATTTTCACAGAATTTCACACAAGAATTGATTGAATCTTGTGTTTAAATCTTTTCTCTTTTAAACTGAATGTTCTCAAGCAACTTAAATATAATCCTGTACAAAGAGAATAATTGAAGAAAAAACATTAAACTTTATTTATTCTAATTGTTTCCAACCCCCTTTCTGTTTTTTGTTACTGAAAACTTTAGTTTGGCACAAGACAATAAGTTATTAGAGTATATTATATTTCTAAATAGTCACCCATCTGAAACAGTTTCGAATTAGCTTAACTTCAGTCGTCAAGTAGGAACTGGTGCTTTCAGTACAATAAACCATTTTATTTATTTTTTAAAATTTCAATTGCATCTGACTTTCAGAGTAAATAACTCTCTACCTTTTTTAACGTTGAGAATTATCTCCCCATTAGAACAACAACAACTATTGCTACTGCTTATTAAATGTCGTTTCTTAGAAGAGATTCAACACCGTTTAGGCATCTGATTGTTGAATTCTGTGGACGATGAAGTTTTGTATAATTCGGGAATGATCAAGTTAAAAGGTAACCAAATGAAAGGTATTAGTGTTTTCTATTATCTCACACAGTATTTGATCTTCCAATTTTGTGTTTATGACTACTGTCACCTACTTCTGTTCATAACAGCACCTGACCTGTTAAGTGTTGAGTTGGCACATTGCCAGCTGCTTCTTCAACGAATCTCTTAAACTACTTTTATTTATCGTCGTAACCTACAATCATTTGTTTTCAATGAACTTAAACAAATAGATCGACTTTCTTTTTTGTCATTCATTTTTTTTTTTTTTATCTTTCAGGTGGTTGAATCGTTCTTTTTAAAACATACGAACCATCTCCGTATGTTGTTTACTTAGTTGTTGATTATTACATCTTGTTTCTAAAGTTTTTTTTCATTTTCTCACTACTTCACAACTTGATGTCTCAACAGTCAACAGGTTGTTGATGTTGATTAAGTTTCTTTGAAAATTTATTTTCAATTTTTGTTTTGTTTTTATGCTTCTATCAATCAATTCCTAATTCATTATTAACATTCTCTAATGAGTTTAAAAATGAAATTCATTGGAGAGACAGTATTGATTAGCCAGCTTTGTCGTCATTTTTCACCTTTTACATTTAAAAAATAATAATGTTCACTTGGCAACAGATTTTTCTCCCGCTTATTTTATCCCATTTCAGTAGTTGAGTAATAAACTTTTTTTTTCTCCTTTTATTTCATTGTATGTTATAATATAGGCCAAGCTTTCAAATTTGGCCTCTTTTGTTATGAACAATTGTGTGTGTTGGTTGGGGTTGTTTTCATTTCATTTAACAAAAAGAATGCTAAAGAAAAGACGTTGATTACTTAAGTGATTTTTTTAAAAATTTGTTTCTTGAAAGATTATAATTTTGTGTAAGCATTTATATTTTATTCAGTGTTTACCTTTTCCTTAATTATTTTGTGATTATCATTAACAAAGCATTAAAAATAAATCCTGACAGCCTGTGTAGTCTAATACTCTCTTAAAGCAGGTGACATATTTCTTTTAATAATATTTGTGTAAAAAAAAAAAAAAAAATCTTGTTGGTTGATCTGGATTTACAAAATGGTACTTGTGTCTGCTTGCTGCCAGATATATATTTGGCTTTATTGACTTTTTTTTTTTTTTTTTTTAAGAGTCTAATCTTTTTTCCATTTCTGGTCAATATTTCTCGGTATTATTAACAGACAGGCTTAACAAAATTTTGAGAAACTTTTGGAAATATCTGAAAATAATGAAGATTTTGGTCATGTTTCCAAATGTGCAATTATGATGAAATATTGGCACTTTTCTCTTTGGTAATATAGAAATTCTGAATGTGATAGTCTTTTAGCACTCAAGATGAGTATGAACCAAGTAATAATGGTATTAGTAGTGTGCATGCATACACAATTTCTGTTGTGTGAAAATGTACAAATTATTTTTTGAGGTGTCAATTTTTCTCACTGTTTTTTTTTTTTTTTTGTTCAGCTGTGAATGACAAAAATCTGTTAAACATTTTGCAAGATTTTCTGGAACTATAGAAAGCAACTTTTACCTGAATATTACTGCTGCTGTCCACTTTTAATTTAACATTTTCTAATCTGATGGATACAGCAAAGTTGAAAGGAGATATATGAAAGATAAAAACTCAAAAGTTGTTTGAGATATTCTGTAATTGTTAAAAGTTAAGATCTCATATATGAAATGATTTTAAAAACTTTGGATTTTAATCATTTCTTTCTTATTTGGGTCAAACTGATTTTCATGTTCATAATTTTATTTTTTTTAAGCTTTGACTAATTTCTGTTTTTTCTTTAAATATAATTTTCTACATCATTTGTATGTGATCAATATATAACATAATTCAGATAAATGTTAAAATGTCACAAATAAATCCAAATATTTTTATTGCTTCCATGGTTTAAGTCCGTTATTGTCTTTTATATTTAAACATATTTTCATAATGTTTTGTCATTCTACCAGGTGAATAATTATTGTCAAAATCTACAGTTGACTTAAAAAAAAGAAGACACTATTTGTGTCTACCCCTTCCCAGTCCATTGTTGACAAATAACATTGAAAACATGTCTGTTTGTTGTTAATGGTGTTGTGTTTCACCTATAAAATTTATATCAGAAGCAACATTCATTTTCTTCTTTCTATTGCACTTTGTTTTGTTTTTTTCCCCTGTTCTTTGTTTCAGTATCAAGAATCATTCCAGACTGTGACAGATGAACGTAACCAGTTATCTGACCAGTATCAACAATATATTGAGCAGCTTCAACAACAAACCCAATCATTAACAGGCCAGGTTAGCACTTTTATTTTCTCCCCTTATTAATACTAGGCAATCTTTCATACTCTTTTTTTTTTTTTTTTCCACCCGCTCTTCCTACTCAACCCCCAACCCACCCCACCAGACCACAGATGGTGACTAATTTGTTTTCAGCATGAGAATAAGGTTACTGTTCTCTTATGAAATGTTAAACCAATTATTATATATGACGGCTTAGTGTTGTAAAGTTGCACTTGTGTCATTATATGGAAGCAACTAAAGTTGACTTTTTAATATGAATCCTGTTTATCTTGTAAATTAACAGAATGTAGAATTCTCTTTAAAATCCTTCACTATGAGATTTAATCTATTTGGTTGCTGTTATTATTCTGACGACATTTCATGCGGCTTCCTTCTAGGTGCTTTTTCACTGTGCTTGGCAATTCTGTAAGGTTTTATTCTATATCAGGAAGTATACTCATTCAACTGCTTGAAGTGACATACTCTGTTGGGCTGGGGATGTAGTGGGAAGACAAGTTCTCTTCCTGCTCACAATAGACTTTCTGATTTTTGAAATTATGGATTTACTTGTTATCTGCTTTCATGTTTTGTCAGCTATCCACCATATCATAAACACCTCATGTTTCCAGGAAGCAGGGACACTTCCAACAAAGATGGCCATTTCTTGGGCATTACTCTAAACATACAATTGATAACTTCATATTTGCCAACAGAGAAACTAAGACAAGAAGAGTGTTGGAATTATTTAGAGCACTTGAAATATTTTTTTTATTAACAATGTAAAAGAATTTTAAGTAACAAGCAATATTGTCTGTGGTTAGGCTCTGAATATTATAGAGGCTTTGAGGTTTAGTAAATAATAGACTGAGTGAAGAGACATTTGATGAGCAAGGTCAGCTTATTAAATGACACACTCACCCTGTCCCCAATTATCATTTTTTCTTCTTGGCATAAAAGGGACAATGAAACCATCAGTCAGTATGTCACAATGCTTAGAAGAAAATCAATTATAGGGACCAATTTAATGAACATCTAAGAGAGATAGGTGATGGTGAGGAATTAATATCTTCAACTGTGATTACTTATTGAGAGAGAGCTATTTAAATATAGATAGCAATTGAGTCAGCCAGAACATTTTTCAAGGTCATTCAAAAACTTGTCAGAGAATGAATCTGAGAGTTGTGTTCATAGAAATGTGAATGTTGCCCTTGTAAAAAAAAAAAAAAAAAACCCAGAAAACGGATTGATAAGCCTCCTTTTTAAAAAGGAGGAGCATATATATATATATATATATATATATTTTTGTGAATAATCAGAATGTGATGAACGAGGTAGACAAGAGTGATTTATGTTCACTGATGAGTTTGAGGAAATTTAAAGAATTGGGTGATAATCTGTAAAATTTACACAAGATTTTGATGAGGTTGAAAAATTTATTCAGGGGAAGCTGTGTGGTGTAGCTGATGTTGATGTTATAAAAGGGAAGAAAATGTTATTGGCTATTGTTGGTAGTGGAATACAAGACTCCCAAAATGATGGTCAGAAGAAACTGGTTAAATTGGAGAAAGAGAGCCATGTTTTCTTTGAATGAGGAAGTTCTTTTGAAATTGAAACTACTGTCTGATTTTGAATTCTTGTTTAGTCATGAACTTGGTTTAAGAGACTTTAATGTAATGTTATTAGTTGATAATAGAGAAACGCTAAGATTTTGTAGAACTTGTCCAGTTCCTTATTCACTAAAAGATAGAATTGGGAAGAAACTTGATTAATTAGAAGCAAAGTATCATTAGAAAAAAATGTAAAATATTCTCACTGGGTCACACTCATTGTACCAGTAGCTAAAGGCAATACAGAAGTGTTAGGTGAGGGATGCCCCTTGTGACATGCATTTGACCTGATATCATGTACTGAGGACTTGTTTTCTATCTTAAAAGGATAGAAATTCAGTAAACTTGATTTGAGTCGTATATTAGCAACTCAATTTAGATGAAATGCAGGAGCTTCTCACCATTAATACTTATGTTTTGTATCAACCCCAATCATTTGCAATTCAGTCTGCATAGCACCACAGGCATCTTTCAACATAAAATTAATAAGTGATTGAAGGATTATTTTTTTTTATTTTAAATTTTTCAATCATTTCTAGCATGTTCAAAAATTTTAGTTTTTTTTTTATATCCATGGTCTACATAATATTTATCATTGGTGTTTTAGTGCTTTTTTTTCCTGTGAAAAACTCATTGATTTGGAAATTCTTGCAAAAATCAAATAATTGTTGGATTTTAATGAAATTTTCAGGACTTATTCACAAATAAATGAAATTATTTTTTTAAATTTTTTTTTTTTTTTTTTAAGTCTTGGTAATTTTTTTTTTTTTTTTTTTTACATATGTTATCCCCCATTAAATTTCATATAATTTTGAGAAATTAAATTTCAGTCATAAATTTTTATTTTTTTTTTTAATTAGTTAAAAGCAGGACTCCTTGGAAAATGTAAATCAAAATTTTTTTTTTTGTTTTTTCAAAACTACTAATCATTTCCTGAAAATCTACTCCAAATCATAAAATAAAAAATGAAATAAAACTATGACATTATTTAAATAGAAAAGATTTTAATTGCTTTTATAAATAACATTTATTAAGGACACTATTGCCTTAAGAAAATTTTCTTTTTTTTTTTTTTCTTTTTCTAATGAATAATGAATTTTTACAAAAATTCTTTCTTTTTTTAAAATTTTAATTATAATAATTTATAATATATAATTTGATTTTAAATAATTGACATTTCAGTTGAAAGTTGAGATTTCAATCAATATAATTTCTAATTGAATTACACCAGAGTATTTTGCTTACTGGAATTAGCAAATTTAATCATTTAGCTTTCAATTAAAGCTTAAAACAAAGCTTCAAGAATGCTTTTTCATTTTTAAAAATTCATTTTAAATTTTAGGTGTCGAAAATTAGTAGAGGTACTTAGTTTAAATTGGATAAGTGAAGTGTGTATTCAGGATTAGAGCAATCATCATAAATCTCCAATTCATGGCTGGGAATAAGTTAGCTATGGGAAAGAAGGATATTCATCAGGAAAGACGGATATGTGTCTTTGATTTTTATTGATGTGGATTCATACTGAATTCATGAAGTGATCTGTCATCCTTGCATAAATGGAGAAGTTGATAGAAATCTTTGCTATGTTTATTTTGCCTGTGAGATTAGTATTAAGTTGATAACAAACCATGTTTCATCAAAGAATTTAAATAGTTTATAAACTTCAATGGAATTCAGCACATATTTACAGTGCTGTATCACCTATCATCAAATGGTGAAATTGAATGCATTGTTTCTATATTAAAAGATGCAATAAAGGAGATGAAAACTAAAGTCAATACAAACTGCTCTATTTAAAAACCCAAAGTTATTCTGCCAAATTATTGTTCAAGCATCATTTACAAACAGCATATTTCATTTGCTGAAACAAATTACATGTCATTGAATTTTGTGTGGGTGTTCAATATATATCATGAAAGACAAAAATGTTACATCCCTTGTGAGAATTTAGGTTGGTGATCTTGTAAAGAATTTGGCAGTGACTATAGCATAGAATGGTGGGGAAAAGGGATGCTATTAATTAATAATTGTAGGTATTATTTTGTATAGAGTTATCTGCCCTCAGTTTTGTGATGACTATATTAGGGTGCTGCATATTGTGAGAATGTTTTCAAGCAATTTCTAACATTACTTTATTGAAGCATAAAATTTTCTAAAGTACAAATCCTGCAGGACAATTATGTCACAGAAGGGAATAATACATTCTCTCCTTGCAATAATTTAATTTTCATTTTATTGTACATTAATTAATATTTTCTTTTTCATCTTACATGATTGTCATTTTTGTATTTTTTTTTTCTTTTTTTTTTTTTTTTAAGACTGCTTTTGACTTTTCTTAATTCAGTTTTTGTCAATTTGATTTCCTGAAGATTTTCTTGACTGTTTTGACTTGCAAACATCAAGAATCAATTTTTTTCTCCACTGAAAGTTTAACTCTTCGTTCTTTGTCTAATTCTCATATAAATTGGTAGCAACAGCTGTTTATTTGCAATTTTTATGTTGCTTTTAATCTAAATACTTTCTTTGTATCTCTTTAGATCTTCATCATATCCATGTCTCTTTTTTAACCATTTTGCTAACAGGTTTTAATTTGACAAAAGAAAATAAGTTTGAAATAATGAGAGTATTTCTGCTAAATGTAATAGAACTAATGTCAGTTATAATTTCTAAACACCTCAGCAAAAGGATCGCAACTATTTGAACTCGTTTCTCAAATGAAATGTTTATCCAAATAATTGCAAGCAATGTGTTCACTTGTTACTTTGAATTAATGCCATTTCTGAACATTTCTTGAGCAAAATGTTATTTCTTGGTGTCACCTAAAATATTTGGATTTCTTTTTTTTTCTTCAGGTAACTTCCTTGACTGGAGAGAGAGAATCCTTACTTTCTAAACAACATGAACTTGAAACAGAAATGGGTTCCCTTCGAAAACAGTTAGGTTAGTTTCTCTTTTGTTTTTTCATACTTTGGTGAATTGGGTCTCTTCTTCTTTCAGTCAGCACTTTTGCTAATTAGATTTTCAACGTATATGTGAACCAACAAGTGAATAACTTTGACTTGAGGCAATAGTGTGATGCAATACGCCCCCACACAATTAGTTTAGACCACCTACAAAGTAAAGTGGACTGTGATTTTAACTGGACCTGAAACACAAAAGTCTTATGACTGCATCAGCAGTAAACTCTGGGAAATCTTGAAAGCAAACACCTGCTATCCACACATGAAAAAAGATAAATAAATGAAAACTTTTGTAATCAAGTGCCACTTGGTAGGAAGTTTTGGTCACTAGCTTATAAAAGCAATCACAGTTAGAATGGTTGGTTCTGGGCTGCCTGTTAGGGAGTTGCAAGTCACATCATTAGGTAAATGGACAGAGGGACAGTAGGTGATAGTTGGTGGTCAAATTGACAGGAGAGAGAGACATTTAAAGTAAGCAAGATAGAGCCAGTTCTTGCTGGATAAAGAGAAGATCTAATCTCTTGTGAAGGAAGACAATTACCAGTGAAGATGTTCCAAATGTCACTTATGTACCCACCTCCTGTCCAGACTCTGCTCGATAAATCTTTAACTAAATAACCAAATATGTTGAAAACAGGATTAGAATTTTCATTTCTTGCCATGACATTATTTCACATTTAGTTCCTCTGTAGTGAATCTATACTGAGCCTTTCTTGGTTTTTGTAAACACCAATGCAAATGAGAATTGAAACACAATTCATGGTGATTTGTCCAGTTTGGTGAAGGACTGACAGTTTCTGGTGTTATGGTTACAATATAAATCTTTTATTTTGTTCTTATTATATTGTTTGATTTGAATTGTTAATTACAACTTATTGATAAATCCAAGTGACTTTCTTCTTCTTTTGAAGAATGAAGATTCATGACAGAAACAACACTAAATGGACAATTCCATCTCCCTTCTCTGCTGCTCTATTACAGTTGCTGTGTTGGCCCAATTGCTTTCAACCAAGAAACTTCTATTTTAGCTGTTTATTTTATCAGGAAAAACTAATTTAGGCTAAAATATTAGAAAATCTTTGTTGCTATTTTTCTCACTGTAAATTCAATATTTTCTGTATTTTTTAAAATTTTTTTTTTTCAAATATGTAAATTCACAATGGCTTATGCATTTTTGAAAAGCTGCTTTCTTGTTGGAAAAATCTTCTTCTCTGGTCCTTGTAAAAGTTGGGATTGTGTTGCTTTGTTAAACAATTTTAAATTCTTTTAGCATTTTAATAATTTCATTAGCAAAAAATTCTTATATTTTAGTGGTTAACTGGAAGAGTCTATTTATATATATATATATATATATATATAAAATATATTATATATATATATATATATATATATATAAAATTGACATTGCTACACAAAAAATTTATGTTTTGGAACTTAAAAATTGTTCCTCATAAGGCAATGTTGGATAACTTATGATAAAAATGGGAAATCAGAAGAAAAAAACTTGAAATTCCTTAAATTAATCGTTTTGTTAAATATATCTCTCTGTCTTCTTCACAGTATCTTAAATTTATATTCGTAACCTGATGTCGTCTGTGCTGACGTGTCTAAAAGTGTTAATTTATCTAGACTTGAATTATAACCCACCTACCCATAACTTCTGACCTTATTTTCATTTATCTATTTTAGCTTTGATTGGTTAACTTTGATTGGTTAACCCACAAATGAGTTTTTTAATTATGGAATATTGGTTTTCACCACTTATTTTAATTCGCAAATGAGCTACTGAATTGTTTTTTGATTTCCCAAGTAAATCATTTTCATCATAAGTTATCCAACATCGCCTGATGAGGAACAATTTTTAAGTTCTGAAACATAGAAATTTTTGTGTAATAATGTCAAATATTTTATAATAAAAATATTATAATAATATTTTGCTCTATAGATAATTATATTTGCTCTACTCTGTATTGAGCACTCTTTTAAGAATAGTATTTGTTGGTTATTGGAATATACTCTGTATACATCAATCTTATACTTGGAGATATATAAACTTAAATTCAGATATTTTCTTTCTTGTTACAGTTATTTCAGTTTGTATGATATTGACAGAATGTATATGAATATAGTGTTTTGGAAACTCTTATTTGTTATTTAGTCTCATGAAAATAATCACCTTTATTGTCTGTTGTATAAATCTTAGCATTTCTTTTTGAGTAAAGCTGACATTGTTAAATGTGAACCTCAGCTTAAATGGAACTTCTGAATGGCAACAACAATTTTAGTGAGTATTAACTTTATCAAAGACACTCTCTTGGCTTTTCATGGGAATGGCTTTGATGCTATTTCTTGAATCTCTGAATTGATGAAAACCAAGCAAATAATCTGATATAAAGTCCTCTATAAACATTTGTAGGGTTTCTTCATAAGGAATAATTGATTCCCTGTGATGTTTCTTTGCTTCAATGACAAATTTTTTTTTAATTGCAGAAGAGGCAGAACATAACTCGGCCATCAATCCGACATCTAATCTGCAAGTGGAAATTGAAAAATTGCATTCAGATTATGAAGAAATATCAAAGAGACATGAGGCTCAGATCAGAGACAATGCACAAATGAGTCGGTAAGAACAATATCAATTTTTCAACTCATTTGAACATTTCCATCTAGCACTGAGTGTCTTGGGGTACACAGTTTTTGGTGGAATGGAAATATCATTTATGAAATATTAAAAACAAGACGGCTTAATTGGTGTTTTGCTTTTGAAGAAAAATTTTTGTTGTTTGACTTCAATTTCCAACAATGCAATTGATTTCTGCAGAACAAAAATTCCTCTTTCCATATTTTTGTTTTATACAATTTTTTTCTTAATCATACAGTAATAATAATAAAAAGAAATTATTTCATATTCTCTGACAATTTTTATCCCATTTTTTTTTTTTTTTTTTTTTTTTTTATTTCTTATTGCAAATGTAGGTTCCTTGAAGAAAAAGAAGATAAAATCATGGAACTGGAATCTACAATTACTCGGCTTGGTCAAGAGGCTGGAGATAAAGCTCAATTATTGGAAAGTATTCAGAGCGACAAAACAGCCTTAAGTCGAGCGCTCACACAAAACAAAGACCTAAAGCAGCAATTAGCAGAATTACAAAATGGATTTGTCAAAATGGTAAATCTTTTCACAAAATGATACATGCTACTGTTTTTTTTCCTTTAATTTTACTAAATTAATGACAGCCATCAATTGGTAGTTCAATTAATTGTGATGAAAAACCAACTAAAATTCAGATGAACAAAATATTAGAAAAAGTTAATAATTTCTAATATAATTTTGTTCTAATGGAAAAGAATTTATTAAAATAAATGACATATTTTCATGACTTTGAGCTTTTAGTGTCATTAGAAATCTACATGAAATAAGATTTTTAAATTTTGCAACTTATTGAGAAATAAACGTTTTCTAACTGCAAATGTTGGCCTTTGTTAATAAGGGGAGATAAATTCAATTTTAAAAATTTATTTACAATAACCATATTGAATTCTGAATTTGTGAATGAAGCCTAACAAAGTGCTGTTTTTTTTTCTTTCTTTTTTTTTGGTCAGTTTTGTCTCTCTACAAGATATTTCTATTTTTTTTAATGTTTACAGAGCAATGACAGTATGGAATTGATGACAAAATTGCAAACAGAAGAACACAGGTCACATGAATTGGCCTTGCGTTTAGCCCAGCAAGAAGATGAACTAAAGGATATGCGAGATGCAGTAAGTTCTTTTTTACTTACTCTCAAATAAAAAGGGGGAAAACACTGATTTTATTTTATTTTTTTTTTTTTTTTGTTAGAAAGTAAAGGAAACTTTTATATAAAATTTGATCCCCAATTGAAAAGGAATGGCTAGCAGTTTCTGACTTGGTCAACCGAGGTTTTAAAAATATTAATTAGTAATTCAAAATTGTTCTCTGCCATTACAGATTTGTAGATGAGTTTTGATAAATTGGATTGAAGACCTGGATTCCTTTTCTTGCTTTCATTTCAGCATTAATTTTCAAGTTTGTCTTTTGGCTGCCATCAAATTCACTGTTCACAATTGCTCCTAAGATTACAAATAGAATTAATCTTTTTAGCCTCCTCAGCCTTTTGCTTGTATTAATATTTTGAGAAAGAAAAAACATTACTATTTTTGTTTTTGTGTCTATTTAGTATCCAAACTTTCTTATGAATGTGGATATATTTTTTTTCTCAAAGCCTTTCCTGTTTGATTCTTGCAAGAGGCTGATGAATTTTTTTCTGGTTATTTTTTTCTTTAGTTGTATTTCAGTTATTATTTCCTACCTGCTATTACCACAATCTTGTTGCTATTATTTTTACAAACCCTATATTTCAAGTAGCAACATTGAAACTAACACTTCTTGTAAAATGCCAAAAGTCATTATGGTTGCTTTTCATCTTGGAGGCCTTTTGATTTTTTTTTTTTGAGTCTTTCAATCTTTTTTCATGTGCTGCCCTTTCAGTTGATGTCTCGTGACTCCCAATTAACAGAGATAAAGAAAAGTGCTGATTCTGTACAGAAGGAAAACTATCAGCAGGAGCAAATTCAAGATCGTCTTCGGCATTATGAAGCTCAAGCTCAGTTAGTTGAGACTTTACAACGAGAACTCTCAGCTTCTCAGGTAACATTTTGCTTCCACTCTAGATTATTTCTCTTAAATATTAAACAGAAAGATGTTTAAAAAAAATAAATATTAAACATTTTTATTTGTAAAATCTTTATCAAGCAAAACTTAATTCACATATTTGATTTTTAATTCAAAACTCTTGCAATTTTTGTTTGGGTCTTAAACTATTTTTTATGGAATTTGCAAAAGAACAAAAGCATTTTGACAAAACTTTAAAACCTGTTTAATCTTAGCAAAATCCCATTCTTCTGTTGTTATTATGAAGTGCATACGGTCTTAGAATTTACTCCTCTTTATTTTGTTTTTAATCTTCAGGATATGATGGATGCACTCACTGCCCAAAATTCTGAGCTCAGGAATATGTTGGTAAAATCACAAGAGAATAAAGACATTTATGATACATCTGCAACTGATGAAAGGGATACCATTGTAAGGATTTTGATTTTTTTCTTTTCTTTTCTTTTATTCTTTGTCATGCACTTTGGCTGTGAGTTTGTCTTTTATGTTGTGTTGTTGTCTTTTCCAGATGGACTCCCTCCAAGCAACAATTCGTCAATTAGAGGCTGAACGAAACCAGTTGATAGGAAGCCTCAAAGACCAACGGAATCTATCTGATGACCTCAGTGTCAAAGTAGCAGACATGCAGGAACAAGTATCTATGTCTAGTGAGTAACACATGGCACCAGCCATTTACTTTTAAAATCCTTCTTCTCTATTTTGATGCCTCTGCCTCCAGCCAGGCCTTTTGCTTGTTTTAACTCTTGTTCTCTCATCTGGCAGAAATTCTACTTTTGCAGACAAATAGGGGACGGGTAAGGCATAAGGGAATTTTGAAGTATCACAGATTCCTCATGTTCATCTAATCCTTTGGAATGGTGTTGCACCATTATTTTTTATTTATTTTTTTGAATGTGCCAAATTGTCTGCTAACAAAAACTAAAATGATTAAAACAGAATAAATCTGCAATTCTTTTCATTCCAGCATAAGTTCATTGCTGTTTGAATATAACATTTGTATGTCAATAAATGGAATTTAATTTATAAAACTACTTTCTCTTCTAGCTTCTTGAATAGGTTCAGAGTTCTTGAAGCTGTTTATATTAGCAGAGCATGATAAATTCAGTATATATATGTAAACTTCATTCATGCTGTAACAGTTTTCATGTGTTTTCTATAAGTATTTTCGTGGTAATTATTCTGATGAATTTTCCTCTTTGGTACCTGGACTTTACGAATTTAAGTGCAGTACTAGATTGGTAGCTAAATCTCATTTTATGGTTGAAATGGCTCGATGTAACTAAGTTCTATGCTAACAGTTTATTTTCTCGCACTTCTCATTTGTGGAACTCTTTTCTGGCTTCTTGCATTTCAGGCAACTTTGATCTTCACAAATTTAAATGCAATGTCAATCATTATTTTTTTAATTCTTGTTCTTTTATTCTCCTCAATAGTATATTTTTGCATATTCTTTAAAGTTCAGTAATCTTGTGTTTCAGTGGCTTGCCTTGCCTTGATTAGGGTAAAATGAGTTTAAAAAAAAACTCATTTTGTCAGCCCCACTCTTTCTTCAAGTATTTGTTTTTTTTCCTATCTTCCACAAAAGATGACATTTTTGTTTTACTTTCTGACTATTTGTTTGTTGCTAGTGACTTTCCTCAAACTTTTTGTAGTTTCAAGTTGATAAGGAAAAATCATGGCTTATGTCAGTATGCTAATAAAATAAGCACATCCCATCTTCCCTCTCGTTTGTAACCATCCACCATAATAAAATAAACGTTTTCGGTGCTAAAGCTGAATTAGTCAAATAAAACTTCATAAAGTTTACAAACTCACCTTGAGGTTGGCTTTCCTATGCTGTGCATTGACAGGGGATTCAATTATGGCAGGGATTGTAAGGGATGCCTTCCCTTGCCTTACCATCAGTCTTCCCATCTCGTGGGTTGAGCACTGTCATAGATCCCGGGATCAATCGGATTTCCTTTGTGAGTGTCAATCGGCCTTGAAGATCATTTCTCGGTTCAGTGACCTTTCTCAGCCTAGGAGAATCTTTTATCGGGAATTTGTGGAGGAAGCCGTGAAGAATCAACTATGTGAGCAGCTCGCTTGTCAGAGGAGGAATTTTGCTCCTTCTGGTCTTGGGCGCCAGTGGTGGATTACCTCAGCAACCCTGCGTTTTGCTTACCTGGTGACTGTGCGACCTTGACAGAGAAGAAACGCCTTTGCACGCCTTCTACCATTATCCTCAGGTCCACCCTCTATGGGACCATATTGGCAAATTGACGGCTCGTCTTGCTCCTGAAAAGCTTGTGCTCATTGATTGTGCATACGCATGTGACAATGTATTGCCCCCATATTCTGGGGTGAAATGAATGGTGTTTTAATCACTGCTGGCCATGTCTTGAATGGTAGTTTGGATGACATGACAGGAAGAAGTCTTGTGAGGCAACCGTCTTTCTCATCAGTATCTTATCCGATTCTTTGAGCATCAGCTCATGATGAAGATTAGAACTGATAGAAAACGTTTGGTTTCGATAGACTTTAGAAAAAGGTGGGTGACTGAGGCGAGCTTCGTTTGTGCAAATGAGGCTAGCTTTGATTTTTCTCTTTTAGGTCAAACTAATTCACATCGGGGTGGTTTCATGTGGAGCCCTCCCCTGGTCAGGCTAGACAGGCTTTGTGTACCTAGTTAATGTGAGTAAGTGTTGTTCCCGGCCTGCTTGGTTATGATCCAAGTTGAGATTCCCAACCTCCCCAGTTTGTTTTTTGACCTCCTTTCATCTTGACTGGGTCAGCTTTATTTATTCCCCGTGTCTGTATATATTTTCTTCTTTCCCTCCACCCTTAGCGAGAGAGCTTCTTGATTCTGTTGTAGGGCAGAATACAGAAGCTTCTTCTTTTTTTTTTTTTCTTAGGGCTGGCAGGTCCAACTAACAGCAGTTATCTTTAATTTGTTTTTATATTTTAGTTTGGTTCATCCCCTCCCCTCTCATTTTAGATCATGTACAAATTTTTATGTATAAAATTTTATAATCATGGAATGAAGTTTTTATGTCATGGGGTGCGTTTTTTAGGTTCCCCCTGAATGTATGTGGTATTATGGTATATGGAGGATTGATCGGCAGTAGATGAGATTTTGTAGTGAATGTAACAATTGTAATGAATGAATGAGTCGTGAATCGGATTAGCTAGGTATAGGATAGTAAGTGACGACCAGCCACATTCCGCCTTTTGGTGTATTTTCCGTAATAAATCTTCATAAACTACTAATTAGAGTTGATGCAATATTACAGTCAGAAGTACAAACACATTTAATAACCCAACTGGAACACAGAAGAACAGGGGAGGGAAATGATGAGTATTACTTGATTATATATCGGTAAAGTCTGGATTAATTCCCCAGTTTGCAGTGGGCAAATTACTGTTCAAATAGTTGTTTTTTTTTTTTTGTCTTCATTATTCCTCTTTGTTTTTCTCAACCTAATAAATTACAGGTTATTAAACTTTCTTTCCATTCTCTCTCAAAGTGCCAGGGTATAGGGGCCTGTGTGTTTGTGGCATTCTTCATTCCACCGAAATGAAAAATCTCAACTCTTTTTAAGCAACTAACTGAATAAGTGCTCAATAGCAAAGAGAGTTGCATATTGAGTGATGTGTATCTGAAACCAAGTATAGAAAAGAAAAAAAGGCAGTTAAAGTTAATGCAACACAATCTTCCTCTCTCACTTTCTCTCCATTCTCTCTCCCTTATTAATACCAAAGACTTAATTGTCAACAGAATCCCATTTTTTTTCTTCTTTTGATTGCTGTTAAGAAGTAAAAACCTTTAATAATAATAATAATCCAATTTTTTTTATTTCTTACCAGTCAACCCTGATGAAAATATTGTGAGTCGTGCAGAATTTGAAAAATTAAAGAATACTATGGACATGATTCAGGTAAATATTTTAGTGTCTTTCATTTTTATCAGATAAGAAGTTAAATATTAGTCGAATAGAATTTAGTATTCTGTTACAAATTGAACATGTTGAGTTCTTTTCTGTTTATTAGGAGAAATACACACGAGCGATGAGAGATAAGGCTGACTTGTCTGATAAGGCTGACCAACTTGAGCATTTGGTGCTGCAACTCCAGGGAGAAACAGATACAATAGGTCAGTATAACTTTGTGGCATTTTCCTACTTCCTGATGAAATGCCAACTTGAAACAATAATGCAACCATCATTGCAAAAGAATTGTCACTGCTAAACCAATTTGAAAATATTCATTTCAAATGTCGATTCTAGTCGGAATTATTTGAAACACTTTTTGATTTCCACTTTACTAACAGGTTCTGACATCTACCTGCTCATGAATCCCACCCCCTTCCCTGACATTTCTAGTGTTTCAGCAATTTTTTTGGCTGAGAATCATTATTTGCCAAAATTAAGTTAAGAACAGGGTCTCCAATTTCAGGAATTTACACTGTTGAAGACCTCTCAGACTGTGTTGCACCTGGGGTCACAAAATCTTTATACTACATGTGGGGTGATCACTTCTTCGCAACTGACCCTGATGTTCATTTGTTACCCAATGTTTTCATCTTACACTCACAGATTCCCTTTGGACTTTGATTTTTCAGGAACAGGAACTCCATTACATCTTGAAAACTTGAAAATTTCCCATTTTAGTTCACTCAGTGATTTGAATAAACAGATTCAGAAATAAGTGCAAGGACCCTGCAAATAGAAACAAAATAAAATTAAGCACTTCAGCTACAGTGAGAAAAAAAAAATGCTTAGAATTTTGATAAATGGATTACATTTTTCTTTTAATTGTTCTGAAGCAATTTAGAATTTCTTTTTTAAAATGATTTCTATTAAACTTAAAAAAAAAAAAAGACGAAACATCAACAAATAAAATTGCTGTTGTGCTTAATTCTCCAAATGTTGCTAAAGCCAAGAAAAATGTTTAGCATGTTTGGCAGCCTTGAATCACTGCTGGCCCAAGTTTTCTCTCTTTACAATTTTAATGGCCTCATTGATTGAAACAAACACTTTTTTAAATCCTAAAACACTTGTTTGATTTTATTTAGAATAAAAAGGCTGCTTTTAAATTGATTACTTTTAATGAAGTGAAATGGTTTTTCAAGTTCTCATATAGTCGTGTGTGTGTGTGTGTGTGTGTAAAACTTTGATTGCAGAAGAGAAAGAAAATACTGAAAGACATGTTTGATCATTTTGTAAGTAAATTGATTTCATGGTTTGATTGTTTCTTTGCAGGAGAATACATTTCTCTCTATCATCACCAAAGAGCCTTATTACAGCAGCGAGAGTTTCAAAAGAATGACTATATTTCACGGCTTGCCAAAGACAGAGAAGATTTACAGGTTTGCTCATTTATTTACTTTGATAGACTTGAAAATCTCTTGTTTGCTGGGTGAATTGAATTTTCTTCTCTACAAAATAGGAAAAAATGCTTTGTACGTTGACCCTAAGGAAAGGACACAAAAAAGATATTCACTTGAAATGAAAAAAGATCACCAGTCAGTTTGAGTAAAGAAAAATAAAGAATCCAAGGGAGGTTAACAAAGTTAGCTCCCTTGCATTGATAGGTGGAACCCCACACAAAAACTGTTGTAGAACAGATCCGACATATATCGACGTCTTTTTGACATGTATATATTTTTTTTCTGTTTTTGCTGCTTTTTGTCAGCTTCAAGTTATTTGGATGTTGAAAACTGACTGCAAAATTCTTATCCCTTGTCTTCAGTTGGTGAAATTATTCTCAATTATTTTATTATTTTCAATGAGAACTTATTTAATACTTTTGTTGATGTAATTTTGTTGTATTTCAGGGCAAGCTGTCCAAGTTGCAAGGTCTTGTGGTGCAGATGTTTAGTGAACGAGGAGTTGATGCAAAGAATTTGATTAGCCACACTGAAATATTTCACAACTGTAATGAAAAGATAAATGAACAGAAAACAGAGGATATGCAACGTTATCTTCCTCCCCCACCTCCAGTGATTAATGGGGAAGGAAAATACCCGGAAGGTGAGTTTGTTCAATATTTCTATAAATCTCTTTCTCTAGGAATACAACTGAATTGAAGCTGTTATTTTAGGTTTGGTAACATACTTCCAACAACTCCAGGGTCACATCTGAAATATCAGTTGCTGTTGAGAGAGAACTAAAACCTTGACATTGTCAAACCAAAAGTGAATGTAAAGGAAAATGTTATTTTGTATTTAATTTCAGGTAACGTAAATCTTGTAAACATAGTTAATTTTGTTTCAATTAATTTCTTTTGTATTATGTTGTCTTTCCTTGTTTCAGCTGCTCTTGACTGTTTCAAAATCTGATCATTGGGCTGTGTACATCCTTTCTGCAGAAAAATGAAATATCAGTAAAAGAAATTTGACTATATTTTGTTTGCATTTCAGGCGGATGAAGTCAAACACTTTAATTCCCTTTTCCTTTTTTTCTTTAATTGAAACTTGTACATTTTACATTTTGGTGTGTAAAATCTGACTTGTTGTCTTTCTTCAGACTGGCCTGATTACAGCAGCTCCAACTCGTCCGAAAGTGTCGTGGAAACTATTGTTGGTGGAGAGGCATTTGAAGGAAATGTACCTCCTTCCTCTGCTCAACAACAGTCACCCACTTCTATGCCTCCAACCATCTATGATACAAATGAAGAATCTGCACAAGTTGAAAACAATCAGACGGCTAAAAAGATCATGGATTTGTTTTCTGAGATTGATAGCAACTTGTGTGATACAGTTCCATTTAATCGTAAGTTCCTGCCCTGCAAATATTGTAAAGGAAGTGTGCAGGACTTGTAGGGGGAGGGAAGGGGGAGGGGTTTCCTATTTATAGATGTATATTATATATACATATATATATATTATATATATACATATCTCATACACAAGCCATTATCAGAAGAAAGAAAAAGTCAATTCTTCAGAAACTCTAATCATTTCATATGCAAACTTTTATGGCAAATTGTTGGCAATAAAGTGTTAATAAAGTTTCTTTTTTTTTAGTGTTGAACTTGACCAGAGGATTTGACTTCTTTACCAGAATAAGTCTACCTCAATTCTAGCACCCTACACTGTTTTTTTTTTTTTTTTATTTTTTTTTTTTAGTCTGTGGTCTATTGATTGGAATGAAAAGAGAAAATCTGAGATTGCATACATAGAAAGCAGACCGAAATAGGCAGTCAGTTGTCTCTTTAGAGCATGACATGGAATTGCATCTTCCATTCTGTTGCTAAGTCACTTGATGAAACCTACAGCAGTTTTAGTCATTAATAACAATTACCGTAACTGTGATAACAAAATTTGATTTCATTTCCTTTCCTGATGTTTCAAAATAACTGAATATATTGGAAAGGACTCCTTGTTCAAAGTAGCCATTTTGTTTAGCTGCATTGTATAAATGCTTTTGTATGTTATAAGTGTTCATAAGTGGAAAATTGAAAAGATTCAGTGCCTTTTGAAAGTTTTGACCATTTTCTCAAGTGGAAAATGGTTATGAAAAATTTTTTTCAACACTTGTAAAAGTGATCTCTTTAAAATAGGAATCTTAAAAAAAGAAATTGAATCAATTAAATGTCATCATCAATGAGTTTTTGTCTGATTTAATTGGATGATAGAAAAAAACAATTTGAATGAAATCTGTCTTAAAATTCTCTGTGGTTAATTCCAGAAGGCTTTATTTGTTCTTTCTGATGTAGTCGTATTTTTTCTTTCCTTTTTTTTTTTTTTTTGTGGTGATTATTTTCAAACAAGAATGCTGCCATCTGTAAAGAGAAATTCGGATTAGAGTAGAATTTTATTTTTACAAAGCAACAACAGTCATAATTAACATGTCATCTTTCTCTGATTGACATCTGCATATTAAACAAGAATTGGTATAAAAAAAAAAAAAAGAATTAAAATTATTTTGCTCTTACATTTACAAAGATAGAAAAGATCTGTGTGTGTATGCATATACTGGTATTTTTTCTGAAGTTGATGTCTATAGTTTTGAAAGACTTGCCTAAGGTCTACATTCCTGTTTCATTATTGAAATACTAACAAGCTATGTTACCAAGCCAGTCTTTCATTAAACAAAGTAATTATTTCTTGCAGACACTAGTTAATAAAATGGAGACAAAGCCTTTAAGTAAAAATGTTATAATAAAAATGTTGTCTCCATTTTTCTCAATTAAAAATGAATTCAAATAATAATCAACTTAAATAAAATGACTATTTATTAGGAATTGACTTTACTATTTTTTTTTCTTTTTTTGACAAATATTGTTCTGTTGTTTAGTAACTTTGATTACTGTTTGAAATGATGCATGTTTGTTTCTTCTTTAAAGTAAAAAAGATGACCCAAAAGAATAAACACAAAAAGAGGATTTTTCATTGCACTTTTACATTCCTTACATCTAAAAATAACACCTCCTGTCAGAGTAGAAATGTGCATATTTATCTTGAAAGTCATTGTTACATTATTTTTGTGGCCTTTTGCCAGACTAAGCAAAGATTAATAATTATTTACTAAAATTGCTGGGATAAATTGTTTCTTTTCTAAATTATGTCCCTACATGTACAAAATAATGAGATTTATCTGTCATGAAAATTTTTTTTTTTTTTTTTTTAAATCTTTTCTATATTGTAAATAAATTCTCTTTGGCATTTAATAATAGAAAAATTCAAAATGATTTGCATTTGTATAACCACTGCACACCCACCCAATACCAATTCTGACATTTGAAACAAAAAAAAAATAACCTAGTGGAAACAAAATATCTGTTTTGTACCAGAAACTTAAAAATAAAACTCTGCTCAAACACATACCTCTACTAGTCAAAGTAAATCTCCAAGAATCTGGCAGTGAATTGTAAAAAAATCCTGGCGTTGTAGGAGTCAAAAGTATAAAGCGGTATTTTCAATGGGTTTGCATTACTGTATATTTTTTGGTATGTAGATAGGAGACGGTCAAGTAAATAAGGGAGAATAGGGCTGAAGCATGAAGACTTACATTTGTCCTGCAGCAGGATAGACCCCCTTTCACTTTTTGGGTGCTGGTCAAAAAGTTTTCAACTTTGGATGGATCAGTTCCAAATCCTCACAACAATAAGATTCTATCAAGATCATTTTGTAAGGAGTAATGGATTAATTACAGTATCAACAAATGGTCAGGACTCTTGTGGGTGAAGATTTGCTTTGGGTAGGGGAGCAGGTTTGTTAACTCAAAGGTATGTTTCTTGTGATCCTATGGAAGTCACTTTCTGTTAACAGTAAACAATACAAAAAAAAAATGTTGTTTCTGAAATGAGCAAATTGCAGTGTCAAAGTGTACCATTCTTATGCTGTATAACGTCTGCATTTTCTTCATTTTGATGGCTCTTTTCACATCTTTTGGGTGTTGTATCAGATCACCCCCACACTCTCAGCTTTGCTCCTAATGTCTGAGTGTTTGTTTCTGGATAAGCCACTGTGGCTGCCCTCAATTCTTTATTGTTGAGTGATGACTTGCAACCATGACCTGGCTCAAAAGAAGTGAATTCTTGGAACCAATGACTCCATCCTCCAATCACTGTTGATATTGCATATGGCTTTTGGCAGCACAGAAAAGCTGAATATGAACACATGCAGCATGACTGCATAAAGATCACATTTATTCATCTATTATTTTATTATAGGATAATGAAAACAACAAAAAAAACAGCCATCATTCAAAGGAGATTTAGAAATGTACAAGGTTCTATGCAATAAACAATTACCCACTTTTTATGCCAAACAAATATAAGAAAAAAAAAAAAAGTAAACTTTCAACTTTTAAGGACTCAGACAACTTTTGCCGATTTGCTTTAAGAAAACTCAAAGAAATTGAGGAAATAATGGATTCTACTTGAAGAATCTTGCATGGGCGGCACTTTTGGCAAAAGTTGGATTCCAGTTATAAAAGTATTGTGGAATAAACATTTTGGCTATCTATGTTCAAATCCTGATGTAGGAAGTGGGCAATTGCTTTCTCCCATCCACTAATAATAATGTGAATGTTATGCATTTCTCTTTTGTGAAATGCAGGATATTCACAATATTATGAAAAAAATTGTTACAGTATATACACACACACACACACACACATTCCTGTAAGAGATATGAATGATGGTTAAATATATCTTTGAGTATTAATTGGTATATTTGTTGCTGTATATTTGTAAATCATTATTTTTATGAATTGAAATAAATTAATTCCTTCAAAATTTTCATTAACAAGAAAAAGTTCATATGTCTTTCTGGATTTACCAATCCTTCTCTTGTATGCAAATTCAATTCTGATGTTTTTCTTACCACGTTTTCTATTTATGACTGATTATTCTTTCAGTTTGTTGTTAAGTCAAAACATTTTTGCATGATGTGTGAAAATCTTATCAATTTGCACCTGAAAAGCCATGAAAAATGTAAACCTAATTTGATTTGTATCAAATAAATGCAAAAATTGTTTCTGGCAGTGTAAATGGGTTGGGGATGAAAGAAGGCTGATCTTGTGGGGGGAAATAAGTCCTTTTATGGGAATGGATTTTAGGTTGAATTGATGTCTGTTGAAGTTCAACAGATAAGCTAACCTTGTAGATCATTGTTAGTGACTTTAATTCTCCTTGCGTACTTTAGTCTGGCACAAAGTCAAAGAAGTAAACTCAAATATCTGTATTAAAAGACAGAAAGCCACAAATCTTATGTTTATTCCCAAATATGTTTCTTTGCTTGTAACTTTCTTAATGGCCAAACATTTTTAAAAAAATCAAGTCAGTTTTCATTGGCAATTCAAATGATCACAAACTTTAAAAAAATAAGTTACCTCTGCTTATACAGGTATGAGAGAATCAATTCCATCATGGTTAGATATAAGTCAATTTATACAGGGTCCCTAAAAAAAGAAAAAAAAATGAAGTGGGTTGGGTATGCAATAAAGTGGATGTTTGGTTCAAATGTCAGAATGATATGGACATGGGGCAAATCTGACAAGATAACCTTTAACCTAGACTTTTATCCCACCACCATCACCACTGTGTAGTGAATATAAATTCTTTTTTTGTGCAAATTTAATATATACTAAGCTCCTTATTCTGACTATGGAAACCTTCTCCACCTATTTTAGGAAGTTATTACTTTCTACTTCTGGCCAGTTGGTTTTCCACACACAATGTTAGTTTGACTAATTTTCATCCAGCATGTAAAAGTGAGGTTTCAATTTAACAATTCAAGTCAACAATTAAAAAAAAAAAGGGGGGGGGGAATAAAATGTTGATTTTGTTTGAAATTTTAGAGATACTTAAATATTCTGATAACATTATTTGATCAATTAACAATTGATTAACATTATTTGATCAATTGGTACAGAGTCTTTTGGTCTCCTGCCTTTTAACCTGGTTAGGATGTCAGTATTTGTAATGGACGGGGGGGGGGTGCATGTGAGGCATTTGAATAGATCAATTCTAAAACCCTTTTTAGGTTAGCCGAAAAAAAAAGAAAAAAAAAAATTCAATGAACTCTGGTTCTCTAACCTGTGTTTATTTCCTCATCACCTAAATTAGTGCAAATACCAGAAGAATTTGTTCATTAATATGAAATTATTTTTTATACAAAAAAAACAAAAAAAATACAAAAAAACATGGATTCTTGTCTTAAGATTTGACTTGAACATTGGCCAGTATGAAAATAGACTGATTGAAAGTGCAATTACGCCCCCCCCTGCCTCCAAATAAAACTGATTTTGATCTGGGTACAGTATTTACATGTTTGTGGGTAGTAGATATTCTGACACTTTTCAAATTCTTTGG